CCCCCCCCCCAGGTAAGGAGACCATCCTGAGAACTTCTGCAACCCCCATTCCTTCCACCAGGCCTACACCTGCCACCAGCTCCTTCTCTTCTGGGTCCTCAGGAGGAGTGCGCCGGGCCCACACCAGGCGACCCCAGTGTGCCCTGTGAGGGGAACTCCCCCTCCACTTTCACCCCCAGTGAGGCCCAGGCCCAGGCCCTGACCCCTCCTTCCGCCTCTAGCTGCCACCCCACATCTATTCCTTCTCAGCCTCTTCCCCATGCCTCTCCACCAACACCCCTGAGCCACGCTTCTGCGCCCTCCACCCCCGCCAACTGCTCCCTGGTGGCTTCCAGCCTGCCAAATGCAGGGTCAGCTCCCAGCTCATTTGCTGGGCCTATGAGCAGCCCAAAGCTGACCCCTCTTTTCTCCACAAAATGCCTTCCTTCCTTGGTTTTAACAACGCCACCCCCCACCCTGCCCACGCTTCCTTCCCCACCTCCTCCACGGACTCGTCCTCACCTCTCTGGCCCCTAAGCTCAGAGCTTGGCCTTCTCCTCCCCATCTGCACGGGTCCCATGGTGATCTCTTCCCATCCCGACATTCACCTCCTGGCCAGTTCCGTCTGTACAGCTGCAGACTCGGACGCCCAAATGCCTACCTCAGCCTCCCCCGGTGCCTCCTGGGTATGCCGGCTGCACGCACCCAGACCAGGATCTCCTCTCCTCCTCACCTCCCCGACGTGCCTCCCTCCTCACATCGACACAGAAGCCGCAAAGCTTACTGCTTCTGCTTGCACCCTGTGTCCAGCAGGTGGCTACTGCTCGCCACGCCATTCGCCCTCCTGGTGCACGCCACCTCCGTGCCTTAGGCGGGTCCCCCTGCTCTGCCCTCACGCCCGTCCTGAGGCTGCCTTAGCTCTCAAATCGTACCAGGTCACTTGTTTGTACCAAACCCTCTACGGGCCTCCCCAAGCCCCCCACGCTGGCCGGAGAGGCCCACCCAACCCCCAGACCCTTGCTGCCTTCCCTGCTCCACACGAACACTCTGTTCCACCCGTATGGTCTCTCCACGTTCTTTGAACCTACTGGGCAGGCTCCCACCTCAGGGTCTTCACTGATGATGAGCCTAAAAAGCTCTAACCCGGTCAAGTTTATACAAACTTAGCAACGCAGCCCCGTCCTGACACACCCACCTCTCCTCGGCTTTCCCTACAGTCCCTGCTGTCATCTGGTTTTACGCATGACTAATCTACTTCCTGATGTCTGTCACCTCCATCTCCAGCCAATAAAACTGTCACTCCAAGAGGGCAGGCTTTTCACAGGCGCGGCTCACGTCTACGTCTGCAGCGGGGACTGAGGGACTTCCACAGGGAAGGTGCACCTGTGCTCAGCCACCAGGCGGGCGCTCACTCGGATGTGCTCGCATGCGGTTCCACGGTGGACGTTTACCAGGCGTCCCACCTTCAACCTCCACCTTCCTTAGATCGTGCACATGGCGAGTAAGAGACCGGAAGAAAGTTTCTGGAGTGCTATTCTAAAAATATAGATCCACAGGCAAGGAATCCAGGACCACGTTAAAACACCCAATTCATTAAAGCTGCCATCAGTCAGCGCCATCAGAAGCCAAGACTCCCTCTCTCTGACTGGCTTCAGCATGCCAGGATGACAGGCCCACTAGGAAACGAGAATGGGGCCAAAGCTCTGAAGACCGTAACTACTGCCACAGCGTGTCTACACATTTGCACCAACTGCCAGGAGCCAGGAACACCGCACGTTACCCGGACTGCCTGCTTCCTTGGCGGAGACAGTCAAGATGAACAAACAGGTATCTGCTGACTGCATCCAGAGCGCTGGAGACCAGAGCTCTGCTGACAGCCGCCGTCTCCTGGAGGGCGTCAGCACACTCCCCTGCCGCCCCCGGAGACACCCCAGCACCCCGTTTACAAAGGGCGCAGGGCATCCCGCCCTCTGATGCCTGGTGGCAGCCATGGCTCAGAAGCTGTGCGACGGGCGGCCTCCATCCTGTACAGCACAGCCAGATCATCTTTCTACTTGCATCGTGGAAATAAGTGACTGCATCGTTTGATCACAGAAATTCTGCTTAAACGATGGACCACTGCTAAACTGTTTTATGAGCGATAAGGAAAACCGAACACTTGAAGGTCAGTGAGTAGAATGAGGGAGGCAGCACCACCGGACAGGAAAGGACACGGCTCTGGAGTCAGACCGGCACAGCCCCGGCCCTGGGCACGCTCCAGCTGTGCACCCCTGGGCGGGCTAGATAACAGCTCTGAGCCTCAGGTTCCACTCTTGTGAAGCAGGAGACAAAGGCAACCTGAGGTGGTCACTGAGAATAAACGAAAATCCCTGCCCTGAGACCGGCACTGATAAGGATCGCAAGCCGAACGCGTTTTGATTCAATGAAACGCCAGTCACCAGCGCTGCCACTTACAAACGTGTCACAATGACTCCACAGCAATGACGCGGACGGGGCACAAACCTGCTGCTTGGCCAACATCGGGAGGATGACGTCGGCGATCTGCCGGGACAGCCGCTTCCACTTGTCCTCGCTCTCCTTGTGGCATTGCTGCAGGACCAGGATGAACATCTCCAGCACCTGCGGGGTGCAGGCGGGTCAGACTCCAGGGTGTAAAGACACGTGAGGCCCAGAGAGGGCCTGCTGCCCCCGACGCAGCCCCGGCCTGGGGACACACGACACGAGGGACACCGAAAGAAAGCGCAAGGGGCACAGCTCAGCTGCACGCTCATCGGAGTCACCCGCCATCGCGGTACTCCTGTGCTTCTACGGAACTTACAAGGCTTCACCACCAGAGAAAAGGCACAAAAAGAAAATAAAATTCATATAAACTTTTGGAGAAACACAAACGCAGCCTTGATTAAGCTTTTCTACAGATGCCTCGTGACTTTTGTGTCTGTTAATTTCAACTTGGTGCTCTTTTTTTTTTTTTTTAAGGTTTATTTATTTTTGGGACAGAGAGAGACAGAGCATGAACTGGGGAGGGTCAGAGAGAGAGCGAGACACAGAATCTGAAACAGGCTCCAGGCTCCGAGCTGTCAGCACAGAGCTCGACGCGTGGCTCGAACTCACAGACCGCGAGATCATGACCTGAGCCGAAGTCGGACGCTTAACCGACTGAGCCACCCAGGCGCCCCGACTTGGTGCTCTTTAGAAAGGGAATCTCCTACCAAGTAGTACTTACCTTCAGAAGAGTTATCCACATCGTAACTGGTCGAGCACCAGTTCTGAGCAGAGACATCTAAAAGCCTGTTTTTGTAAATACAGTTTTATCGGCACACAGCCGCACACTTCATGACCGCACCGGCTGGGACATCGTCCACAGCAGCTGAAGTGAGGTGTTTCAGTCTACAACACTGAAAATACCTGTCACCTGCTTGTTTATAGAAAACACCTGTCACCCTGGTCTACACAAGTGCCATAAAGAGAGATGCGCCCACTGAGGCCCACTCTCCACAGAGCCGGCCCTGACCACCCCTCCACAGCTGCCTCTCCACTCAAGGGTCCTGGCAGCCCTTCTCCCCCAAGAGGGGAGTGTGCACTCCGTGTACACTCTCCTCAGCAAGGCTACCCGATCCTCTGTCCTCTCAAAAGGCGGAAAAGCTCCCGAGCACGTGTGGCTGACGGGCCACTCTCTAGGCCTCCCTCCAACCCATCGTGCTTGGTGCTTTACATCGTAATCAAGGGATTTCAGTCAACATTACAAAGAGTCACCGAGATGAGAATGCACGGAAGAAAGTGCTTCCATGAGAGAAGCTTATGACTTTCAGATTCAAAGACCAATAGCCTGACAAAAATTCTGAAGGCCAGGCAAGCTAAGAGCGGGGTCACGGGAGAGGCCAGACCTCTGCACTCAGGCCGCCCCAAACGGCCTGAAATTCCTGCTCCACCTTAAGGAAAACTAAACCACAACCAGCACAGAGGAAAAGACCCTGGCCTTACCTACATCGACAGGTGGTAAAGAGATGTACAAATGAAGTCTTTACATTATTTCAGATGCGATATTTTTAAAATCATATTTTAGAATTCTATCATTTCGGTCAATGTCAGGTAACTGATTCTTGGTCATTTTGGAAAACAGGGTTTCCAACATATTTACTCCCTTGAATCACCCCGTGACTGTCAGCCAGGTGGCAGGTGACCTCCCCAAGTGGCTGTACGGCTTTAAATACCAAGTCCCAGCAAGCCTACCGCTCTCTGGCATCTCCCCAGCCCCAGAGCCCAGGGTGGCACGAAGGAACACCCACTAATTGGCGCACAGTGGGCCACAGGACATTTCCTGCTGCGTCTGCAGTGCCAGAGAGTGCCCCCCCCCCTTACCTGATGGTACTGGATGAGTCTCAGCAGCATGGACACCACCACTTCTTTCTGGGTTTCAAGCTCTTTTCCTGCATCAGCTTTATTGGCTCCTCTCAGTACGAACAGGTCATGGACTATCGGCTGTAGAGCCGGTATGGCTGTGGGCACAGAAAGGCAGGCTCAGGAGGCATCACACGACGTTTACACTTGCAGCCAGAGCTCGACACCTCCCAAACGTGTCCAAAACACAAGAAAACCCTAGGGGTGCCTGGGTGGCTCAGTTAAGCATCTGACTTGGGCTCGGGTCAGGATCTCATGATTCACGGGTTCAAGCCCTACGTCAAGCTTTGTGCTGACAGCTCGGAGCCTGGAGCCCGCTTCGGATTCTGTGTCTCCCTCTCTCTCTGCCCCTCCCCTGCTAACGCTCTGTCTCCTTCTCTCTCAAAAATAAATAAAACATTAATAACTTTTTTCAATTCAATAAATAAAGAAAACCCTAATCCATACGTGGCTTATGATAAAGGATAAATTCAGCTTATCAGCGAGTGCTATGAATTATCAGTATACCGTCATGGAGGCCATAGCTCTTCCTTGAACACTTACTGATGATTTTGTGAAATCTTAAAAAAAATACACCTAGGCTTTCCGTGATGTAACATCAGATCTGACAAAAAGAATCACAAATTCAAAAGTCAAATTCAAACTAAAATCTTCAAACTAACTCAAATATCAACATCCTGTTCTAATGCTTCATCTACCTAAAGATTTACCTGAAAAGATGACTGTGTTCTTCAGCAGAAAATATTTATAGAGTATCAGATTTCTATGCTATTTTAAGTAATAAACTCACTATCAGTGGATAAAGCCCTTCCCCCCAGTCCTGTCTTATCGAAAATAGCAAAGTAGATTCCTTAGTCTATCACCACTACATGAACAACTTTCTCCGAAATGTCTTTCACTGGGAAGGGGGTGGCCCGATCCTGTCACCAATGTCACTGCAAGGCACTGCCTGCCAATGCCACACACACAAAGGCACGCCCACCCCCAGGGCCACATACACACGGCACATGCAACCCAGTGCCACACACACAGCATAGTTACTGACTTTTCTACAGATGACCAGCTTTCCAGACAAAATACTAGGGTTTGGTTGCCCACTGATTGTCCATCCAAAGACTCTCTAATCTAGGAAGCCTTAGTCATCCCTCTATTTGACATTTGCACCAGGAACCCCAATTCCCAAAGCGTACAAGTGTGAACTTTTGCTGAGGTGTGAATCTCGGCCCTCGCAAGGCCACTGCAAAAGTGACTCCAGCGACTATGGAAATCAGATGGCATGGAGTCCCTGCCCGTCAACAAATCACCTGCTTTACCGCAAGCACACAGAACAGGGAACACAGAGAACGCTGCATGCCACAGTGCCCTTCTCACATCTGGGCTCTGCAGAGGTCCTAGGACATACCCCTGCCAAAGTTCAAAAGTCTACTGATTCCTGACAACGGAGCCAGGGAGGAGTCAACAGGAAAATGCTGCAAGATCAGTTTAAAAAATTCAAAGAGGGGACCCCTGGGTGGCTCAGTTGGTCAAGCGTCCGACTTTGGCTCAGGTCACGATCTTGCGATTCTTGGGTTTGAGCCCCATGTCCGGCTCTGTGCTGACAGCTTGGAGCGTGGAGCCTGCTTCGGATTCTGGGTCTCCCTCTCTCTCTGCCCTCCCCTGCTCACACTCCGTCCGTCCCTCCCTCCCTCTCTCTCTCAAAAATAAACATTAAAAAAATAATAATAATAAAAAGTTAAGAGAAGGTTTACAGTTTATTCTTTTTTCAAAAAAAATTTTATATGTTTATTTTTGAGAGAGAGAAAACAGAGCACAAGCAGGGGAGGAGCAGAGAAAGAGGGAGACGCAGACTCCGAAGCAGGCTCCAGGCTCCGAGCTGTCAGCAGAGCCCAATGTGGGACTTGAACTCACAAACCGTGAGATCATGACCTGAGCCGAAGTCAGACACAACTGACTGAGCTACCCAGGCACCCCAAGTTTATTCTGAAAACCACAGCCTCACTGCCCAGGTGAAGGAGGCTGCTTGAGCCGCTGACCATCTTCTGTGGTCCTCACTCGCCTCTACAGGATAACCAGGCAGAACGGAAGGTCCTACTCCAAGGCCAAGCCACTCCCTCCAGCACCAGGGTCCTCACAGAAGTTGGATTTCTCGGGTTTTTGTGTTTCACGTAATTAGACAAGAGCATCTATGTCAGATTCTATCTGTGCCTTAGATCGCCCTACTGTTTCCTGTACTCTTAGGTCAGGAGGTCACAAGCTCCTGACAGTAGGTCTGCTCTGTCCCTTCTGCGGCATCTCTAAGCAGCGTGCACACGCACACACACGCGCGCACTGCACCCACACGCACACACAGAGCAGCAGTGGACACAGCCAGAAGCTGGAGTGATGAAGACTAGCACCGTCGAGCACATCAGTACTGAAGGTCACCGTGAAAGGGCTGTCCCGTTACCATGTGTCACAGCCTTCCTCCCGCTGGCCATGATGCCGTCACAGAGCTGAATGATTTTAGGGATTCCAATGATCTGTTTTGAATGATAGCGCTCGTAAGACAGTAATACCAGGAAGAAAAAGATGTTTGGAATAATTGCCTCTGATTCCCTAGAAACAAAAACATCCGTTTAGATGCTTCCTTTTAAAATTATGACACATACTCAATATAAACATGAACTTACTCATGATTCCAAGTTGAGAGAGAGCAAAAGAGACAGGGAGAGAGCCAGGGGAAGGAGGGAAGCAAGTGGTGAGAATGCGGGAGAAGGGAGAGGGAGGTGCAGAAAATTCGGAAAGAGGAGGAAAGAAAGAAAGGAAGGAAAAGAATGAAAGGAAGGAAGAAGGAAAGGAAAAGGAAGAGTGGGAAATATAAGAGGAGAGAAGAAAGGAAGCTTATATGAAAGAAAACAGAGAAGAGCGGAAGGAAATAAGAAAGGAAAGAAAAAAAGAAAGAAAAGAGAAGAAGAAAAGTAGCGAAAGAAAAGAGGAAGAAAAAAGAAAAGAAGGAAGAAGAAAGAGAAAGGAAGAGGAAAGAATGAATGAAAGGAAAGAAAGTAGAGAGAAAGGAAGAGAAAAGAAAAGAGAGGAAGATATTATTATTATTATTATTATTATTATTATTATTATTATTAATGATATTATTATTATTATGATATTATTATTATTATATTATTATTATTATTATTATTGTTATTGTTGTTACGTTGTTGTTGTTGTTGTTGATTGTTGTTGTTGTTGTTGTTGTTGTTGATTGTTGTTGTTGTTGTTGTTGTTGTTGATTGTTATTGTTGATTGTTGTTGTTGTTGTTGTTGTTGTTGTTGTTGTTGTTGTTGTTGTTGTTGTTGTTGTTGTTGTTGTTGTTATTGTTATTGTTGTTGTTGTTGTTGTTGATTGTTGTTGTTGTTGTTGTTGTTGGCCGTATGTGGCAGCAGCGTATTGTGGCGGCAGCGGCAGCGGCGGCAGCGTTGATGATTGGTAATGATGGTAGTAAGCTGTGTGACAATATTACCCAATGACAGAAACAATGTGTGTAATGGTAATAATGTAGTATTATTAGTATTATTGAAGAGAGATGATGATGGCTGTGTAGTAGTAATGTGTGTGGTAGTGATGATAATGATGGTGTGGTATTATTCTGATGATAATGATATTATTATTAATGAAATGACCCAAATATTATTATTATTAAATGTGTAGTGATGATATTATTATGTGTGTGTGTGTGTGTGTAATATTAATGGTAGTAATGACAATGACAATATTAATGAAAATATTATTATTATTATTATTATGTGTATTATTGATGATATTATTATTATTAGTTAAGTATTCGAAAAGTAGTAAGTATTATTATGATATTAGTAATATTAATGTGGTATTATTATTATTATTGTATTAAATATTGTGTGTAGTGTGTGTATTATTAATGTGTGTGTGTGTGTGTAATAGCCTTATTAATGACAATAACCTTAATAATGAAAAATGACCCAATGAAAATGGCAATATTATTGTACCCCAATGACCCATTGAAAATATTGTGAGGCAGTATTGATGATGATGATGACGATGACAGTAGTTGATGATGGCAGTAATGGTATTGAAGAAAGTATTAGTATTGATGACTGTGTGTATTATTATTATGATATTGTGACAATGACGTAATGAATATTATATAGTAGTGGCCATTATTATGTGTGTGTATTATTAATAATGGCAATGTATTAATGAAAATAATACAATAATGAAGTATTATTATTATTATTATTGTGTATTATTATTATTATTTATTATTGTTATTATGTGTGTGTATTAATTATTATTATTATTCGTAATATTATTGACAACAATAATATGGCTTATGACCTTAATAGTAATGACTGACAATGAAAGTAGTATTATTATTATTATTATTATTATGTGTATTAGTAATGTGTGAAGAGAAGGAAATTATTATTAATATGTGTAATGTGTCAATGAAAGAAGTATTATTATTAATGGATGTCTGTGTGTGTATTAGTAATATTATTGTGTGTGTGTGGTATTATTAATGTGTGCAACCATACAATGACCATTATTATTATTATTATTATTATTGTGTGCCAGTAATGCCAGAAATATTATTATTATTATTGTGTGTGTGTATTCAAGCGTAATATTACCAGCGTAATTATTATATCCCTCTCCCTCATACATCATGAAATACATCCGGAAAAACAGCAAAAAAGCTGGGAAAAAAAAAACTAAAGTAAAAAAAATCGTGAAATCAGATCTAAAAAACAAAAAGCTTTTTTGAAAAGCAGCCTCGTCGCCTGCAAAAATCAGATCCGCAATGTCTCCAATAAATCAATCAGTCAATAGTCTGTCATCAAACAATAAAATATCTTCATCCAGCTCTGGATTCTGTGTCTCCCCTGTCTCTCTGCCCCTCCCCGTTCGTGCTCTAGCTCTCTCTCTGTCCAAAAATAAATAAACGTTGAAAAACAAAAAAAAAAATAAAAAAAGAAAAGGGGGAGAAGAGAGGGAAGGAGGGGGGAGGGGAGGATGAGGACAGACGCTGGGGGCGTGGCAAGGCGGGCCAGCTCCCACAGGGTGTGCTGGGGGTGGGCAGCTGGCGGTGGGCAGAGCTAAGTGAGAGCGCTGGAGAGCACCCAACAGCACTGGACGCCCAGAGGTACAATGTTCTTACTTCTCCTCCTGCCCCTTCTCATTTCAGTTGAAGAAACTGAGACTCAAAGGAGACAAAGCAACTTGTCTCAAATCATGCAGTCAAGATGTCGCATAACTGGAGGAAGAAAGTACCGGGTCTCTAGAGCCAAGGGATGCTGAGAATGCATCCTTCTTCTCCGTGCGTCCCTATCTACTGAGGACAGGTGAGCCCCGAACCACGCAGGTTATAAAACGCGGGGTTTCTATAAACACAGTACAATACCACAAACGGACGTTAGCTTCCTCGTGGTTTTCTTAACAACGTTCTCTTTTCTCTGGCTCGCTGGATTGTCAGAATACACAGAACACTCAGAACACGTGGTAAGCGAGTATTTACATGATCAGCAAGGCTTCTGGTCACCAGTAGGCTCTTGGTAGTCAGCTTTGTGAGAGTCACAGGTTGAACGGGATTTCTGAGGGCGCAGGGCCGGCCCCCACAACCCACGTTGTTCAAGGGTCACCTGCAGTTCGGAGACCGAACGATTCTAACGCGTGGTCATTACACTCACACAGCCGTAAGTGCCGTAGGAGAAAGTAGCAAACCTTATGGTCTGGCAAGGAAGAGCCGCAAGTCACCTAAGTCAAGTGTGTCATAATCACCTCTGCTAAAGACCGCCGGGTCTAAAATGTGTTTTCTCTCAGAAGTTTGAAACAATTAGTGCTCCGGCAGACGAGATTTGGTTTAGCGCCCCGCTACCACAATGAAATGTTTTGAGATGTGACATGAAAACTGACACCTGTAATTCCCAGGTGCAGAACCACTGCCAAACAAGTCTCGAGATACTTACTCCTTAATTTTTAAGAGAAACAAGAACACACAGCGTGTTGATCAGAGCTCGACTTAAAAAACAATATTTGGCAAAAATGCTTAACAATCCTTTAAAGTAAATGTTCATCTTAACAATCTAAAATTCTATGTAACTGTCATGAGGACAAGAAATCTAAAAGAACGAAAAGCTGTTACCTGAACTGGCCTACTTCAATGTATTCGAACTGCTTCAGCACAAATCCAATAAACACCTACAGAGGAAAATAAAAATTTCACATCAATAATTAAAATGTGCGAACTAGGTTACTTTTCTTCCTACTTAGTTGTGTAAATTTTTAACAAGTTCCCGACAGCAGACAAACGTGTCCGTATACAAGAACTCAGAGGTATTCTGTGAGACGGGATAGCTCAGGACACTTCTAGAAATCCCGTAAGTACATTTACTGAACCAGGGGGTGAGAGCCCTGGAGAAACAGGAAATGCCGAGCAGCACAGAAAAGGCCTATCCGGCGACTCGCTGGCTCCGGTTCACACACACTGAGCGGCACAGATGGCCCGAGACTGGCTTAGTAATGAGGTGCCCGCGTGGGTCCACCTCCTCCTCGCACACCCCAGCGTTCGAAGGGGCGGATGCTGAGGGCTGCTGACAGGGAAGGGGACCCCGAGGGCACAGCAGCACTCCAGGACTGGACTAGGGCCAGTTTGGCACCCACCTCTGTTCTAAGCACTAGTTCCTCCTCAAAGATGTGAACCAACTTTAGTTTGCTTGAAAGCAAACGTCATAATTGATAGCGTGTTTAAAGCAAGTCTCTGGATTTTGCAAAAATGCCCCCCAAACAACAAATCTTCGTTGTACCTTACAATTTAAATTCACTTGTCTTGGGGTGGGGAGGGTGAGTGGGCAGGAAGGCCTCTGACGCACGCACACAGGCTAATAACCTGGACACAGCCTCACACAGGCAGGAGTGCGTCCTCCGTGCGCCCAGGCCCTGGACACTGGCGCATGAAACGGGTAAGGAGCGGCAACCAGTGTGCAAATAGCAAACTGCACGTTTCTTAAAGGTAGACTTCAGTGTCTGCTACAGGTAATTTTTATTAAATTACGACAGGTATGGCAGATGAAAGCTAAAGGTGACAAACCTGATCTGAATCCAGAAGACAGTAATTGACCCGTAACTGAACCAGCTGTGCCAGCAAATCTAAGACCTGCCTCTGTAGCTGCACAGACGTTGTGGTTGTGTACTGCTTTAAAGCTTTTATAACCAGAGGCTCGAACAAACGAATGTGATTGTGAATAGCATTCTATGAAAAAAAAAAAAAAAAAAAAAAAAAAAAAAAAAAAAAAAAAAAAAAAAGAAAAGAAAAAAGAAAGAACAAACTGAGTTAGACTTCAACCAAAACCTTCAAGCAGCCAACCTGGAAAGTGCTGAGCACCGAAGCCTGCCGCCTCTCACTCACCTTATCTGCGCGGTTCTTAGTGGTGCTGGTGAGGTTCGTCTTCAACTGGGTAGACACTTTCTGAAGCACGTCAAACCACCTGCAGGTGGAAAAAAGTGAGCAAAGAACAGCCGTAAGTCTTCTCCCGTGTCCTCAGCCACACTCCAGGCCAAACCAATTCACGTCCACAAAATCAGAACATGTCCAAGTCAGAAAGCACCGAGGCGGCCAAGCCACGCGGCGGCACCCGCTCCTGTCTAACAGACAGCAGGCCGCGCTGAGATCGCAGGGGGCCGCCAGCCAGTCCTGTCACTGGTAGCAGGCACTCAGACAGAGCGCTGCCTGCCCCAGGAAGCTCAGCGCCACGCCACCCAGGCTGCCGTGAGGCCACAAAGGTGACGCTCACTTGAAAGACTCAGTGACCCAGAAGATCTCACTTGATTCTCTTGGGAAAAAGTTTCTTTAAACATTCACATCAATCACACCCTTTTCAAGAAACACGTATGAAATTAGATGACAGTAACACACACACGGTTCCTCGCTTCTTTGTTTATACCCCATGCTATTAAACAAAGTAAACAGATCTATTCCTAAGAACTGGATGCATATATATAGTAAGTATGTGACCAATGTCAAGCCTGGAACAAGGGCATTCTCCTCAGTTCCCGACTAGTGTGTCAACTCTAGCTGCTTTAGCACTACATCTATAAAAGGAAAAACAAGGAATTCTCTTGTTCGTGGCACAGAGCAATTCTCTTGCTACACAGAGTAGCAACTCAAATATCTGCTGATAATTATGGTTATTTAAGCAACAACAACCGCATTCCAGGCATCAAAAATACAACCATAAATTTAACTGAAGAGAGACTTGCAGCCGTAAGGTTATAAAACCCAAAGTACTATCATACGAGATTCCTCTATGCCCTTCAAGTACACTTACACGCTAACACTTTTGTGCCACGTGGAAGCCATTCTTTCCCTCTAGTACAGACCTGGGAAATGCCGCCCACGCGGCACCTACAGGAAAGGGGGTCTGTGGGCACCGGAAGAGCAGCCGGCTCTCGGCTTTTACAAACGATTCACTGCCAGCTCTTCTGTGCTCGTACCCAGAACGCCTCCCCGACGCTACCGCCCCGGCCAGCACAGGGGCAAGGTTACCCTGAGGCGTCGTGGTCCTGCTCTGCCTGCACCATGTTCCTCAGGCTGGCGTCGGCTAAGGCCTGGGTGAAGTGGGTGTAGGGAGCCATGAAGCAGTAGTGGTACAAGCCCGGCCTCACGCTGGAGGAGCCCAGACGCTGCGCTCGGCCCTGGGACTTGCTGGGGTTGGAAGACAAGCCATCAAACTGGGAGGCCAAGTTTGTCCCAAAGAGAGTCTTCAGCAACTAAAGGGGAAGAAGTGAAGCCATCAGCATGAGGCTTAGCGCGGTGCCAACACACGGGGGTCTCCCAGGGGGCTGTGCCAAACCCAGCTAAAAGCAACGGGCTGTGTTAGCAAAGCTCCAGACTGACATCCTGGAGGACGATCGCCATCGGCACCATGGGAGACTGCTGTCGCGAAGGGCGATGTGAGCCGGTAAGTCAGAACCCCAGGAGCCTCGCCCTCCTCCGCGATTCTGTTGGACCCAGCATTCCAAGCAAAAGCCTGGACGGACGCCACGATGGCAGCGTGTAGCCAGAGTCCGGCGGCAGGGGCCAGACCCAGAGGGGCGGGACAAGGAGCCCTGTGCCCGATATCGGGGCGGGCCAACACGTGACCCGTGGGGCTGCCGGCCGTGCCACCAGCACCGCCTTCTAAAGGACGAGCGGCATCCTGTCCCCGTGCCCAGGGCGTGGGGCTTAGAAGATGAGCCCAGGAAATGACATTTTTACCTGCTGAACACAAACAGTTGCCATCATCGGTTCTCGACTGAAACAGGATTTCAGGTAGCCTAGGATCTCCTCGACACACTGTGGGAAGAAGAAGCAGTAACACACGCAAGTCGGTGACTCCCGGGCGGCCTCCCAAGGTGGCGAGCCACAGTTGACACAGAGGAAGCTTGCGATCCGCCAGTGTGAACGGAGCTCGGCAGGAAGCACGACAAACCTGAGCCGCTCCCTCCAGCCTCTCCTGCAGGCGCCACCGCCACTCCCTCGCTCGCTCACTCGCCTGCTCGGGGACGCTCACCAGCTATCTACTGGCCACTCCGCCCCCAGCCCTGTGGTCAGGGAAGGAGTTCAGAGTGTGCAGGAGCCGCGAGCCCCACGGACGTCCAGCTGCACGGAGCACACGGGCACCCTGTGGGATTTACTGCCCAGAGTCCTACAGCGTCTACGGCAATCTGCAAAAACGACCGCCCGCACAAACTACTTTCACCGCATCGAGAATAAGATGCGAGGCACCCCGTGTCCTCTTGGGGCACCGAGAAGGACGAAGACACGAACTCTCAGGATGCCGCCAGGGCAGGCGCTCAGCGTCAGCGGCACAACGCCCGGGCGCCTGTCTGGTCACCAGCCACCGCTTCCCTCAGCAGGGCTGCCGTTGACACCAACCAGACGGAAGAGGCCTCTCGCCTCGCTCATTCGCCACAATTCTCTGTGCTGAAGAGCAACAGACTTCTGTTGGTTTCAAATACTAGAGGCCCATATATACATTTTCAATATTCTGACATACTCAAATTAGACTCTAAGCATTCAAGTTTGCATCCTACCGGGTGAGTTTGTTACGTGTTGCTTTTTGGTTTTACCAACCCATAGCTGGTATCCGGTAAATGTGAACAGAGAGAATTACAACTAGAGCCTTCCAGATCAGGGTCTCTCTGGCAAAGGACCCTGTCTCCCAACAAATACACACGGAGGGCTCGGTGGCACCAGAAACCGCACCAAGCCCTGAACGCTGGTGAGGACACATGCCGTGGTGATGTCAGCACACAGAGCAACAGGAGCACCTCGCGGTGTGGACACCAACATGCGGGGCAATACAGACAGGTTTCCCCTTCTGGCAAAACGAGGTGAGAGGCCCATTTACACCTTTCACCCAAACAACCAAAAGAAACACCGGACACTGTGTGGAATTACAGTGACAAGATGCCAAACAGCAGGCGCTGAAGGACAGTGACCCTGAGAGATGGGGACAAGAGAGGAGAGCCCCGCACCGCACTGGCCCACCGCCCTGTGAGAGCTTCCAGGTCGAGGCACAAGGGGGGGGGGGGGCACAGAGTAGCCCAGGGACTCCAAGTCAGGAGGAGCTATGAGTCTGGGAAGCTGAAGTAGCGGGGACTCAACGGGACAGCTGCCCAGACAGAACTCTGGACCAGTCCCCAGGGCTAGGGGACAATCACCAGAAAGGGTTACAGGGCTACGGGGCAGTGCTTGGCACCCACAAAGGGCTAGGGACAGTTACTGTCGCCCCCAGCCCGGGAGAACAATAACTCACGGAGCACCAGGTAGAGCACTCGGAAAGGCCGTGCCTCCGTGGTGGGAACAATTAGCCCCGGACTGAGCACTGCTCCAGGCCACCTAACAACACAAATGCAACACCCACACATAAACTGTTCCCACACAATTTAATTCTATCTCAGAATAAAGCTCACGAAGATTTACAGGAGTACAAAAACGTCTAGCATCCAGTAACATTTCACGATGCCTGGCATCTGATCAAGGTTACCAGGCAGGCAAAGAGGCAGGAACACACAATCCACAATGAGGAGTATAATCAATCAAAAATGACCCAGAATGGCCAAGATTTTAGAATTAGCAGAGAAGGACGTTAAAAGCCCTTATGACTGTATTCTCTGTGCTCAAAAACTTTAGTAGGAATATAAGAGATTTTTTAAAAAGATCAAAATCAGACTTTAAGAGATAAAAACAACGTTAGTGAAAACATGCACTAGGTGGGATTAAGAGTCAGACTAGACACTGCAGAAGAAGAGATCAGAAAGCCTGAAGATACAGCAGTGAGAGCCACACAAAATGCAATGCAGAGAGAAAACAATAACCCAAAAGGAGGATCTGTGCGTCGCATAAGGGACAACCTCACGCATCCAAATACGCAGGTAATTCAAGTCCCCTTAGGAGAGAAGCCAGGACCAGCAAAAGATATTTGAAGAAATAATGGCCCCAATCTTCCCAAATTTTAAGAAAACTATGGAGCCACAGGTCTAAATTCAACAAACCCAAGCACAAGAAATGTAAGGAAAGTTACACTGAGGCACATAAAAGCCAAACCGCTTAAGACCAGTGCAGTCTCCAGAGAGGCCAGAGAAGACATAACTACAATACGGGCAGCAATACGGAGATGCATGGAAAAGTGTGTATGGAACAGCGGCCAGAGAAATCACCAACACACAAACAAATTGCACTTCAGAATACATTCCAATTACATAAAAGTTGGGAGTGGAATAAACAAGGTCTAGACGAGAAGAGAGATAAGACTATTATATGTCAAGAACGTAGAATTAGGACTTTTCATCCCCCGCGCTGGAACTCAGAAAAACAAAAGAAACCAACTCTACTCTTTACTCTCAAATCTCTCTCCGCCTTCACCTGCTGTAACCAGAGAAGCTCACGGCAATGGGAGGAAAACCCGATCCTACACTGTGCAGGTCACACCCCCCAAGAAGTCCGTGAGGCTCAGGCCCCCCGTGCCAGAGCGCGTGTCCGGCGCACATACCCAGCGGCACCGCTGCTGCTTGTGAAGGCGCCTGCCGCCTCAACCGCAGCAGCAGGATGGCGAGTGGCAGCGTGTGTCTGGCGGGGGCGGGGGCCCAGCCTCACCCGCACAACCGTCGGCCAAGGAGACTTGTGGCAAACAGCCAGTGGCCGAGCGCAAAAGAAACCCTGGGTGGTTTCTACTCCCCTCGAAAAGACCAAGAGCGAAGACTCAGCAGTTAGGGAGGAGAGGCTCCCAAAGTACAGACCAGGGGGCCTGGGGAAAGCCAAGGCTGGAGCTAAAGCGGGCCTCTCCCACCCAACAGCACAACAGATAAACTCAGAACAACAGGGAAGCTGAGGGGCACAAAACCATCTTTATCCATAAGGACCAAGGTGAGAGGGCGAAAGGCCATCCTGTCCCACATACAAGGATCTTCAGAAATGGAAGTTACTATGCACACTTTTAAATATATCTTTATGTATACATATACATGTATATGTATGTATATACATACACACACACACACACACACACACAAGTATATATATAAAACTATATTCCCGTTCTCAGGAATACACAGATCACATGACGTCAACCTTAATTAGATTGTGACTTGTTAATTATTTACCTTCACATATCAGGATAAATGTAACCTTCGATCAATTCACTGACTGCAACTGAAAAACAACTACTGCTGTATGTGTGTGGCAGTCATAATAAAAAGGTAAAAAGAAAAAAGGAACCACCCTCCCCAAAGATGAAAATCTACAAAAACAATAAACCACAAAGTCATCTTAATTCCCTTAAATAGGAAAATTTTATTATTTTAAAAATCCCAGTTAGACGGTTTTTATTTCAGCGTATCTAACATTCAAATTTAAAATTCATCATATTCCCTATCTTGCTGAAATGCATTATCCACACACAGCCCACAGGCCCTCAGGACCTGATGGTCTGAGGGAAGAAAAGCAACAGATCGCCATGCTGACAGGGCCACACGGGGAGAGCGTACCGCGCCCTGGGCGGGATGGCCCGCTGGTCTCACCAAGAAGGTGGCAGCAGTAAAAAAAACTCTGCCAAGTTTCACTCAGAGGGGACAATAACCGAGCACCAGTAAGAACAGGACACTATCCAGCCATCGAAACAAGTGCACACACTATACACAGACCTGGGAAAGAGCCCAAGAAGCACCTGGAGACAAGATAATGTACATACTGTGATGACAAAAACTAGGTAACTTCCACACGTCAAGAAAAAGACAAAAACACATGAACTTCCTGAGCGCGCCACATGTTTAGGACACACGTTTGAAGGGGGAGCTCCCTGTGACTGACTCCGAAACGCGTGAGAACCAGGGCACCCGGGAGCCGGCAGGGGACACACCCGGGAAAGCGACCGCAGTGAAATGTGACCTGCAGGCCCGGGATGCAGACACACGAGATGGGCGTTCACCTCACACGTCCTTAAAATCTGTCCCTGTGTCTGAGCGCCCCCTTGTAGGACGAGGGGGAGGGGATACCGGACTTGGAGCCAAAGCCCAGGAGTTTCAGCCACAGCTCTGCTGTCCCACGGCACCAGAGGAGCCAGCCACGCAGCCTTCACGTCCGTTTTCGCCCTTCCTGCTTGCAAAGGGCAGATAAGAAAGCAAAGCGACTGCCACCACAGTTTAAACCCACCAACACTGGGTGTTGTATGGAAACCAATTTGACGATAAATTTCATATTTAAAAAAAAAAAAAAAACACCAATATTCTAGAGTGAACTGGGTCGAGGCTAACACACAGAAAAACCCTGAAAACGGGATGGAAGTAGGACACCCCCAACGTGAGGCTGACACAAGAATCAGAGGCAGGAGCCATGACGCAGCAGCCGGGGGCCGCGGAAGCTTCTCCCCAAGCTGCTCCCGCCTTCCGAACGCACCCAGATCCCCCAGCTACAGCTCGAGGGGAAGAAACGAAACACAAACCTTCCCGATGTCCTGCAGTGTTGCCAATTCTAGGATCTGAGAGAGCACATCCAAGGCAGAACGCAGAAAGCCCCCAAACTTTTCAGCACTGTTCTGAAGGTCCAAGGTAACCTTGGGAAGCAGAGGGAAAGAACACAGGGTTACTGGCATGTCCTGTTCCGTCACCTGCAACAAAGACACGTGCTGTCCACGCGGTGAGAGTGTCCGGCTGGGCTGCTCTAACACCTGCGATCTGGGGGGTTTCTGTTTGTTCATTTGCTTTCAGTGCTGGGAAAACGCCCTGGAAAGGAACCACATAAAACTGTAACCTTTCAAAGGCATCTTCCAGCTTATAGTGATGCTGCTGAAAGAAACAATTTCTGACCTTCTATTACAAGAAAAAAAATTTAGTGTCCATTTCAACCAGTATCTGATAAGCACCATATCAAAACCTATAAAATACACGTTGTGTTCCACGTATGTTCGTATCCCCCGGGAATCATGATCAAATCCAGAAACCGCCCTTCGGTCTGGCTCTAGCAAAACGTTAAATTCATCTTAAGAAGGATTAAATTATAATTCGAAAGGGCCCAGCTGAATTAAATTTTGCAGCAACTCCCCTATTTAACAGACTGAGAATGAGTCAGGTCCAAGGATATGAAGGGCGAAGGGGAGGGATCAACTATAAAAATAAAAACTGGCAAAAGCTTGCAAAGCGCTACAACAGAGAATGGAGTCTGCTCCGTGAAATCAAACCCAGCCAGCCGTGATGACAGAGGAAGCACTTCCTGGGCCGAGGGGCAGGACAGCAGGGGAGACACGCACAGAAGGTGAAAGAAAACCTTGATGCTCTTGTGTCACCGTGAGGTGGTTTCCAGCAGGCAGAGGAAGGGCGAGTGGGGACACAGGGACAGGTGACCTCATGGGGCCACATCCCACAGGGACAGGAGGGTAGGGGCTCACCTCCAGCAGGCATGACAGAACGAGGGGGCAAGGGGCATGCGCATGGGAAGGCCTATCTTGACAAAGAACAGAGGTCGCAGGGGAGAAGCAGGGCCACGGGGCTCTGAGGGGGGCGGACAACGAGGGCCAGGGTGGGAGTACAGCCACAACAGAGGGAATAAAGATGGAATGAAGGAGGTGGAGGGGCAGTGTGACGGATGTCACATGTGCCAGGCACTCCAAACACACCGATCCAGGCGGGCATCCGGGACACCGGGGGCCACAATGCACGGGGTACAGCGTGGAGCCCAGGATGTCCCGGAGGGGAAATGATAAAGGGGGAGCCGACACTGGGATCCTCAAGAGGGCCCCAGGAGTCAGGACAGGAGTCGAGAACAGGCAGAAAAGGAACACCTGTGTGCGGTATTTCCCACGTGCCCTCTGCTATGTGGGTGGTTGACATGAGAAACACTGGCTAAAAAGAGCCTCTGAATCTTCCGTAAAATGTGGTCAGATACTCTGACCTTTGAAAGGTATTGATATCCTCCAGAAAAAAAGCCAGGTAAAGTTCATAAATCATTTTCAAACAGACAGACAGACAAACAAAAACCCTGAGAAATATCTATATCAATAACAAAAGATAATGAACATCTGGGTACACACTTATCAAGAAATGTGCAACATCTGTGCGAAGTAATCTTCAAAAATTCTTTTTCAAATTCTTTAAATTTCAGGTACATCTGAGGCATATACAAGAAGTTTTCAATAAACAAAAAAGCATCCCACACTCTGGACAGGTGGACTTAACATCTAAGATTCCAGTTCTCCCCAAATTAATCTATAAATTAACATGATCCCAATGGAAATACTCTCAGGATTCTTTAGAACTAGATTAGTTTATTCTAGTGTTCACATGCAAAAATGAGTAAGAAAAGAACATCCAGAAAAAGTTCTGAAGGAGAATGGGGGGGACTGACCACCTCAAAAAATATACCGAGCAGCTACACAATCAGCACGCGTGCTTCTAAAAGATGAACAGATAGACAGATGGATGTAACAAAACAGTAGAAATACAGAACTACGAGAATTTAGTATCTGATAAAGGTCGTATTTCAGATCAGTTAGTGCATGAAAACTGGATTATTTGGGAGACAGTGCCAGGGAAACTGGGCAGGCAGCTAACCAATGAAAAGCCCTATGAGAAACCATGGTAGATTTTTCCTTAACCATCTCAGTGTGAGAAGGCCCGAGGTACAAAACATACCCGTGCAGAAGAGTTAACAGAACAGACAGAAACCGGTCTGTAAGGTGGGCCCTTGGTGGTGTCCACGCACTTGACCAATCGAAGGTCCCCCACGCTGATAGAAAACCTTCCCTGATAGGGCTGGTTCCCTGAGCCTGGACTCTGGGAAGGAATCCCACGTTTTATGTCACACACCTGCCTCTGCGAGGCTGAGGTTTCAGTTCGTGCCAGGCAGAGGAAGCCTCCGCTGCTCGGGGGACAAAGCTGCTCTGTGGCCCTCAATGGACAGAGAGAACACGGGAAGCCTGTGCACGGATCCCTGCAGACTCCACGCTGTGGTAGAAGTCCCAGCTGTGAAAACGACTACACGCCAGTCCCAGAGTCTTGCCAAAAAATCTCTGAAGGTGGGGGGTGGCCTTGGGAGGCCCAGACACAGCCCCGGTAAACCCACAGAGAGACTGCGACTCCAGCAGAAACCTTACGTTTTGATATGATGAAAGCTACCATAAACAAAGCTGAAGACAAAACTTGAAAAAACCGTCACAGCACACACCCCACGCTGTCTCGTATGTACGTGTATGTACACACACAAGCTGCGAATCTTAACAAACACATCCACAATCTATTAGAAATCTGAGCACGTGCGTATTTTTACAAAAGGAGCGGTCAGTACCTTATAGTTAGCGTGAGTAGCTTTCAGGACATCGTGCAATTTGAGGTATGAAGGAAGGTGGTAGAAACTCCCCAGTGATGAGGACTTATTTGCTGTAACAGGCCCTGAGGTGTCGGATTGTCGAGAGGCTGTAAAACACACCACACAAAATAAACTTTTAGATCAAAAGTAAACATTTGCCACGTTTAAAAGAAGTTACTAGCAATAATGGCTTTTAAAGGTATTCTAGTAGAATAAAATTCAAATTCTTCCTCTTTTTGATTAAATAGAAGTAACAAAAAATTGACTGCTAGACATAAGTAGAATCCAGGCAGTCCCCAGAAAATAAAACAAGACGAAAAGGAAAACAGCGGTGTAAGGCTACTGTCTGTTGTTTCGGTCTCGCTGCCAGTTTGCAAATCAGAGGAACGACTAGTTCAATGACCTCCGGCCAATCACACAACTGCCAGGAGCCTGAGGCTCCCTGAGGCTCCCAGCGCACAACGGCGCTGAGCCCTGGCCGGTGCAGGTCACGCGCCCTGTAAGCAACCAACGTGCTTAAACGCTGTAAAGAGCATGCATATTATCATGAAACGGACATGAAATATTAAAACGCCAAGCACTATATGGAAACTATACTACTCGAGTTTTAAAGATCTTCAACTTGGAGCCCTTAGTTGATTTAATCCACCAGAAAGAGTATCAGTGACATACTGATAACTTGACATTTGTAAAGTTCTGAAGCTTTTAAAGCCGGCAAATCCTCCTGCGTCCTATAGTCAATCCCTAGAAAAGAGCAGCTTTTAAAAAGCCTTCCCGTAAACACTCTGTAAGCAAAACGACTAGGAGACCACAACTGTGCAGGCGCCGTGAGGCATCGTGCTGACAGGTTTGACGGGAGCGGGACAGGATGGGTCGCCCTGGCTCCCCAGCTCACAGCGGCTGCCTGGTTGGTGGAAACCGCAAGGTTCCCCCGAAACCGTGGCCCCTTCTGTCCTGAGACCGTCCCAGGTCTAGAAGCTGCTCCACGATCTGAGCTTCTGGGTCCCGTTCACTCACATGACTGAACCCTACCGCAGTGCGCCCAAATGTAAACCTGCCACTTCCAACTGGAGAGGGCCTCACATGTCAGAACCAAGTATTTCATCCGCTAGCTCTGCTCCCAGCCATCTACACCGCCTCCCCGACTCAAACTCGGGTCTCTTCTACTCGCTTCTGCAGGGAGAAGTGGGACGGGGAGGACAGCAGGCAGGGCTCCTTGCTAGGGGTCCGATGCCCGCAGACCTCTGTGGCCACATACTGGCAAGTGACACTAAGAGGCACTCAAGACCAGAACACGGTCTAGACACAATTAGGGATATTTATAATATTTAATATCCGAACCCACACTGAGGAAACTCTTTCTCCGGCTCCACTGCCATGTGTTTTACTTCCAGAAAATACCAAGTTATCACATTAACTTTGGCACGAACATAAGCATAGTCCTGGCTTTGGATGACACACACCATGTCCCCTGCCCGTTAACACTTCATACCTGGACTGGCTTCGCTGCCTTTCTTGGGGCTCAAGGGCGCAGAGGCCTGCTCTCCCGGCTCTTTCTCCTTTCCCTTCCGGCGGATCGGACTTAGAGAAGGAGGGTTTGTTAGGGACGGCAAGGCTGCCTGCAACAAAAACCAGAGTCTGTGAAGGAAGTAGAATCCGCACGCAGACTGAAACTCGCAGATGTGGTTTCCCATTCCCAGAGCAGAGCAAGCAACCCAGGCAATCTGGTTTTTCTCGGAATCCTCATTTACGGAGCTCACACGCGGTACGTGTACCAGCTACACTGACCCACACAACCATCGCACGTGGCAGGGATTGACCCAGAACTTCTTCACAGGTGGACCGTGAAGGGGGTCAGGCGGGGCCCACCCATCACCTCCAGTGGCAACCAGGGCACTCTGTGGGAGCCAGGACAGGAAAAAGGGTACGAAGCAACGTTCTGAACCCATTTTCAAATGATGAAACGAGCTCAGAGGTGAAGGAACGTATTCAACGTCAAGGCTAACGAGCAGCAGAGCTAGGGGTCCACTGGACAGACAGAACTGCAGGAGGCACATAGTGGGCACTGGGCCTCAGCTCTGCTTCTCTCCCCACAACGCCAGGGAAGCGGACGGAGTGTGGCAAAAGCTGCCATCAGGAGCGCAGACCGACAAGACACGGACCACACAGTCCCTTCCCATGACGTGTCTGCCGTGGGCAGGTCCACAGAAACAGCAAGTAGGTGGTGGCTGCCTGGAGCTGGGGGGCACGAGAGGTTGGGGGTGAGAGCTAAAGGTATGTCTCGTGTTCCTTTCTGGACTCTACACTGGTGGTGGTGATGGCCCAGTGGCTCTGGGCGCACTAAAACAACCCAAACCCTGCACTGTGAGCAGAAGGATCGTATGGCATACGAATTACGCTGGAGTTGCAGGGTGTACTCATTCACATGTGGTCTCAACAAGAAGAAAAAGAAGAAAAGAGGCTGTAGCGGTACTCCATCAGGTCACCAGTTTGCACCAGAATAGTGGCAGTGAACACACAGAGAAGTGTGTATGTACGTGTGCACCTATACGGGTATGTGTGCATTTGTGTGCGTGTGTGTACATGTACGTGCATGTGTGCACGTGTATACGGGTCTTTGTAAGATATTCAGTAGGGAAAACACAGGACTTGATGAAACGAGGAGCTATGATGACCACCACGTTTGCAGCTGACAAAGCACAAAGTGAGGGGAGCACGGCAGGCACGGGCAGGGGCGAGGCTCAGCAGCTCAGATCCAGAGCACACCTGAAGTCTGCGAGCCATCCAAGGAGATGCATGGCGCGTCCCTGGACTGACACCCCAAAGACACACCTGGGGTCTCTGACGTTTAAATACCAACGGTAAGAACAGGACTGACCACCTTGAGCTGCCCCGTCCCGTAAAGGAGCCATTATCTACACGTGGCCATTTAATGACAAACAAAATTAGAAGTTCAGTTCCTCAGTTGCGCTAGCCACTTTTCAAGTGATCAGTCACCACGTGTGGTTGGTGGCTACTGTCCTGGCTGGCCTAGACATCAATGTTCCCACCATTACAGAGAGTTGTACTGGACAGAGCTGGCCCAGGAAATATCAAGAGAGGCCAACCTAGGACAGAGCCTGGAGATCATCAGTGGTGGGCAGAGAGGTGAAACCAGGAGAAGGCCCAGCGAGCAGACTGGTTGGAGAAAAACAAGAGACAAAAACCCGGAGACCAGCAGGAATGACTGTTTCAGGACCTGCGTGGCGGTACCGAGTGATACACAGGAGAAGACAGGACCCGAGAGGTATCCACGAGACCCAAGGACCAATCTTGGCAGGGAGAGTTGCTATGGAGAGTGGTGGCCAAAAGCCGACCCCCTGAAGTTTGGGGAATCGATGGCTGCAGCCACAGGAGGCCCTAAGGTGTTAAGCGGGGAGACGGCACTCTTCAGAAAGGTTTGTACTGATAAGGAGACCAAGCGGCAGTCGAAGCAGAATGTGAAGTTAGAGGAGTTTTTTCAAGATGGAAGTAACCTGAGATAGAGGACACAGGAGTGTGCGAATAATCGGATATAATTATAAGTGAGCTCATCTACCTTATTCACTGTGCAAACAATTTACCACTTGGGAAGCTGATTTGATAGAGCTACACTTCACAGAAGAGCGATCTGCCAACATTCCAGGAGACAGCAGATGAGTTAGTTACCTAATAAGCCAGCAACTTCCTTATGAGCTTTCTTGGCTAATGCTGAAAGCCAAGAATAAAGACAGCTTTCCCCTCAGAGACGACAGTAACCGATGACGGTACCAAAAGAGCTATAAATTGGTTGACATATTATGGCGTTAAATCCAATGTCACCATATGAGCGGTTTTGTTCATTTAAAGTGAAAAAGAGTAAGGAAGGGACAGATGAGTCACGAAGGCATGTCTGACACCCACGACGTCACTCTGTGCTAAACGGCGGCCAAGTCCAAAGTTACCTTTATTGCCGGTCCAGGAGCCACATCGTCCAGCACGTGTGCACAGATATTAATCACCTTCAGCAGGTGGGAGAAGAGCTGCTCCACCATGGGCACCAGGGTCCGGTCACCCAGAGCCGGCCAGACCTCTTCCTGCTTGGCGGCTGCTGGGTTGGCCTCTTCCTCAGAGGTCCACGAACTTCTCAGAGATCTGGGGGCACTGGCTGTGATGCGGCACAATGTGGGGGAAAGGAATGAGTAGGCAAGTCATTTAGACCCATCCACTCTGAGTCTGCCGGACATCTCCAGCCGGTGGACCTGCCTAACATCACCACAGTACGTACGCCCGGTCAGGACGTGCCTATCACCCCAGGCGCCCCGGACCTTTTCAACCCCAATCGAACCGGGGGCCGAGGCCTGCTGATCCTGCCCCCTGCATCCTCTTCCAGTCAGCCCACCACCATTTATCCCGTTCAGACTCTCTCACCTTGACTACGACACCTTCTCCTCCTAAGCGGGTTTCCCTACCTTCTCCTCCAAGCCACACTGAAGCCGCTGAGGGACCGGACCGTGCAAATGCACCAGCCCCACTGCCAGCCCCTCCATGAGGCTCTGCCATGACGTGGCACAGCAAATAGGACGTCATACTTAAGGAGCACTTAGCGAGGCAGCCCACCTGTCAAGTTCAATGGCCTTCCTTCCTTACATCCTCCCTGTCAGTCCTCATCTCACCTAACATCCCCAACGACTTGCAGTCCTCACATGTCACAAATTTTTTTTGTGTCTCTATGCCTTCAAATAGGCTACGCCCTCCGCCTGGTGTTTAAAGAGAGCGATGATGGCCACTCTGGGCAGCCACTGTACTTAGTTTACACGCGTCACCCGCTGAATCCACATGTGACTTGTGAACGGAGCCCACGCACCGCCCTTTCTTACAGCCGTGGTGCCTGGGACTGTGCCTGGCACATGGTGCCCACTAAAATGAAATTAGGAACAGGTTTACCTGTGGCTGAGGGGCTGGGCAAGAAAAGGGCTCCTTTAAAACAGTCGGCCCAGAATAGATGCCTATAGCTCACATCCATGCATGCTGCTGACGTCGGGAACTCTGACGAAGGGCTGGAGCCATCCTGGCGATGGCCTCACAATATTCTCCTTCGCGTGCGCACCACCCCATCCCTCAAAAAGAAACCTACAGCTCTGGACCCGAAGCCCCTGCTCCACCTCCGCGCCACTACCTGCGAGCAGGTTTCCGGCCAGCACCAGTGCATCCTGGTGCGCTGCGAGGTCCAGCGGGAACCAAGCTGACGAGAGCAAGGTGAGGATGACCGTGGCCATGCCAACAGTACAGCTCTTCCTGGACTCACCGGACACGCTCAGCGGGGGTGCCCTGGAAGCCAACACGGGCAGGTCAGATGACAAAAGCTGTAAAGCAGTCTTGCCTTCTCCCATGAACCACGAAGGCCTACCACCGTACGCTTTGTACCAGCTCACAAAGCGATTTTACTATTGTTAACTAACATCCTTCCCTGCACATACACCTCAGCTCCACAAAAATCAGAGAAATGAAACCAGGTAGCACATCTGATTAAAACTATTGAAACTGCTTACTTTTATAACTTTTTAACTTTCTTCGAATTTTGACTTAGCATATTTTACTCCAATGCCAAAGTAGCCTAGAGTCAGGTCAGGCACTGGATCTATGACCAGAAACCGTAGCTGCTCAGTAACTACCTGTGGACAGAGGGAAGCAATCATTCTAGACCGGAGGATGCAATCCATCCACTCCAAGCAAATGTCAGCTGGTCATAGGCTGACACAGACACAAATCTGCAGATTTACTTTAAGCAGGGATGGTGAGGGGCGCCTGGGTGGCTCAGTCAGTTGAGCATCCAACTTCGGCTCAGGTCATGACCTCACGGTTCGTGGGTTTCAGCCCTGCATTAGGCTCTGTGCTGACAGCTCAGAGGCTAGATAGAGCCTGTTTCAGATTCTGTGTCTTTCTCTCTGTCCCTCCTCCGCTCACACACTCACTCTCTCAAAATAAATAAATAGACACTAAAAAAAGATTTTTTTTTTTAAAGGGATGGTGAGCCCTGGGGCATCTGGGTGGCTCAGTCGGTTAAGCGTCCGATGACAGCTCAGGTCATGATCTCAGAGTTCTTGAGTTCGAGCCCCGTGTCGGGCTCTGTGCTGACAGCTCAGAGCCTGGAGCCTGTTTCAGATTCTGTGTCTCCCTCTCTCTCTCTGCTCCTCCCCTGTTCACACTTTGTCTCTCTCTCAAAAATAAACATTGAAAAAAAAACTGATGGTGAGTCCCAAAATTTTTCTCAGTCATTGGTACACACAGTAAAAGCTTATTTCTTAGTGTCACAGGAGACTTGAAATTATTTCACAGATGCTATTAGGGCCATCTCCTGGAAGAAAATCATTTTTAAATGAAAAGTGCTAATATAAGTACAAGTTCCTAAATTACACACTGTAGCTCATCATAATTTGGAATGATAGGTCATATTAGTTGGTTTCAAACAAAAAATGTTTCCAAATTTCTTTTTTTTTTTTTTAATTTTTTTTTTTTCAACGTTTATTTATTTTTGGGACAGAGAGAGACAGAGCATGAACGGGGGAGGGGCAGAGAGAGAGGGAGACACAGCATCGGAAACAGGCTCCACGCTCTGAGCCAGCAGCCCAGAGCCTGATGCGGGGCTCGAACTCACGGACCACGAGATCGTGACCTGGCTGAAGTCGGACGCTTAACCGACTGCGCCACCCAGGCGCCCCAAATTTCTAATACACAGCGAAGACTTTTGGAGAGAAGCCAATTAGAGACGTCTTGCCAACATATGTGAATTCCCTACAATGAATCTACAAGTCGCACCCTGAAATCCCCCAAAGCACTGACAAGTGGGCGACTGACACCCACGGGAGTCACAGCGAATTCAGATCTTTAGGAGCTCTGTCACTAGCTAAAAGGGCAGAGCCCAGCATTCTGCTGGGTATTTTTCCAAAAGGTCAAACTGATACAAGATTTAAGAAAGAAACAAGGAGGGGCGCCTGGGTGGCGCAGTCGGTTAAGCGTCTGACTTCAGCCAGGTCACGATCTCGCGGTCGTGAGTTCGAGCCCCGCGTCGGGCTCTGGGCTGATGGCTCGGAGCCTGGAGCCTGTTTCCGATTCTGTGTCTCCCTCTCTCTCTGCCCCTCCCCCGTTCATGCTCTGTCTCTCTCTGTCCCAAAAATAAATAAACGTTGGAAAAAAAAAAAAAAAGAAAGAAAGAAACAAGGAGATCCCAGTAACGATGTCTGGATCACGTAAGTGAAGACAGCCACATGCTGAGAACAATACATACCCACAGTGCCAGCCTAAACTCCAAACGCAGACTGGAAAGGCAGTGGAAAGAAGACACAAAGCCTCGCAGCATCCGAACTGAAGAAGGAAAAGACAGGAAAATCACACCCACGCACCAAAAAGTGTTTATCACACTGACCCTCCTTTTACCCTTTATAGAAAGTACAAACAATGAAAACAGAATTGAGATCTGTGTCTCACGATATGTGTCCTACCAGGGGACTGATTCGTCCTTCAAGGGCAGAACTGGACAAGTGAGGCACAGGCGCTAAGGAGGGACCGTTCTATGCCGTGACGGGAGGCCAGCAGCCGGGAAAGCCCTTTTGCTCACAGTGGCAATGGCCCCACGCCCTCCCCATGCCCTGGTCTGCTCCGTGCTGGAGGGAGCTCACTGATGTCCACCTCCTGACCAGGCCGCAAGAGGCACAGGACAGGGACCCTCTCTGTGTTTACATCCCAAGCCTAGAAGAGTGCCAGACACATGGAAGCCACAATAAATACAAATAAATGAAGCTTATGATAACTTTAAACAAATCCAGGGAAGACCAAACTACAAAGAGGCCAAACAATATTAAGGCTTAAAAGGCACTATATACTTATCAAGACAACCCAATCATAATTGTTGGGATTTTTCTACAATATGCAAGTATTTCTTCTGCCACGTAAAATAAATGACGGGGGAAACAGCAAATTAACGCAACTTTGTATAATATCCTCTATTCCTAATTATGAAAGTCACCCTTGTTCATTTTAGGAAATTTATAAGTATCTGATAAAATATGAAACAAAAATCGTAGTCCTAAAATCCATTTTGGCCATTTTCTGCCAGTCGTTTTCCTGAATATGAGAAACGTACATGTGTGAATACGACTTTTCCCAACAGAGATCGGACTGTACATAATCACACGTGGCTTTTGGTCTCTCTATTGTAACCCAGATTCCGTCTCTCTACAGAATGAAAAACTCTCCCAAGCACCGCGATGACAGGTGTGTGAACCTTCTGCTGCACATACAGATCTCCGTCATAATTGGAATGGGGTCACCTTTGCACTCTTGGATGCAACGGCTCTTTTCCACGTCAGTGTCGCAAACGACGACACGCGTAATTACACCGCACAGAAACCTTTGCTGGTGTGTCTGCTTCTTCCCCGTAGCGCCCATCACACACTCACCGAGTCCGTTACATCAGAGGCAGTTTGAACTTCTGACACATTACCAACCCGGATTATGGGAGTGTTTATTCTCATTCTCATGTCTTCCTACACTGAATTTTTTGACAATGAGCACGTGTTACTTTCATCATCAGAAACAAAATGGTTGTTCGCACGCCCAAACCAATAAGCCCAGACTCTGCTCCCTGGGACACAAGTCCTAGGGAATAAGCCCCACACAGAAGACCTCGAACGCAAGCACCTCCCGTCACCATTAAAAACCAACCGCACAAACCACCCACAATCAATTTCAAGAACACCAACCCAGGGGACTTACCGTAAGTGCTCGCGTGGTCGACGTGACCAGCTCGTGGGAAACTGCCGCAATGACTCTCGAGAGGTTATTTTCCACAGTGACATCTGTCATGCTTGGCAGTAGGTTATAGCCTCTGTATATTCTAATAAGAAAAACACAGAAACACGGAGACTTCAAATCTACCACTAAAGCTTATGGTAGTTTCAAAATTCAAATGGCATTTCAAAGTTTAAGATTAAAGCCTCTAGGAAGTTACAGCAGTCCTGACTCTGAGGTGAACGAGAGGCTAGACACACACCCGGTCACTACGATCCCTACCCTCCTGCGGCCACCCCATTGCAGCGCACCCCCCCACCACAGCCTCGCCTGAAATCTCCCCACCTGCCAAAAGCACCCGTTTTTCAAACTCCGAAGTTGGAAGAAATCCTTCTGGAAGCTACCGTGATTCCAGGAAAGAAGAAAGCATTCTCCCCAGTGCAGGAGCACCGCGGACTCTCCGTCACCCCTCTCCTGGCACATGGACTTCAACCCTTTGTGAAGTTATGTGCAGGCCGTCCGCCCCCTGCCCTACCAGCAGGGCCCCCGCAGGACTAGTGCTGGGTTCGCTTCTGAATCCCTCGGGGTCCTCAGGTCCCAGAAATGAATCTCAGGAGAATAGTTCTTTTCTCTTCTCCCATAAATTCCCCAACGGCAGGCGGCAAAGTCACCACGGCCACCACAGCCACCTCGCCAAGGCCGGAGGCGGGAGGGGGAGATTCGGGGCCGCGGCCAGTAACCGGTGCCCAGGCAATGTGCCACTCCTCCCTGCTGGCAACTGAAATCGTCACTTTCTGAAATGACCCTCTGAAACGGCAGGTTACCCAAGGCTTGTTCAGCCCCTGACAACCAGATACTCATATGTGGCGTCTGTTTCTTCTGTTAAAGGAATATTTACCCTGAATAAATAGTCTCTCTTTTCAGAGAGAAGAAAATGCCACTTCTTAGGGTAAAAAAAAAAAAAAAAAAAAAAAAAAAAAAAAAAAAAAAAAAAAAAGCGGGTGGGGGGGCAGAGGGGCAAGGGATTTCTCTGAGAAAATTATTTTCGTGTGTTTTTCTAAAGCAATCTTTACATGAGGAGAGAAAATATCTAGTTAGGAACAGCTTCAAAATCCAACAAGCCAAGTTCCAAATTCAGAGCAAAAGCATCCAACAAACTTCTCCACTCCGACGCCACTTAGTCCAAGCTTTTTAGAAACTGCCGCTAACAGGAGAGTCACACAAAGCTCATGTTTCAAATAACATTTAAAACCGAGCGTTAAAACGGCGTGACGTCTCTCCTAGTATCGCTTCTGCAGGCGTCTGTGCAGACTCAGCCTCTAAGGAACCCTCACTCCCTGGGAGCGGTTCGGCTCTGGCGACTTCCTCCGTCCCCGCCGCTGACCCGAGACCAGCTGGGGAGCCGTGGGCACCACCCGCGGGGCGTGCCGGAGCCTGCACGATAAACGTGACGGTGATTGCTGCAGACCACCGAACTGCCGCTGCCACTCTGTAACCGCCAGGTCGCCTCAAAACGAGGGGCCTGACAACCGAGCTGGACTCCGCACTAGCAGCGCAAGTTAACTGAGGAAACTTAACGGACAAGTGTTTAGCTAAGACCCAGCCCAGGAGTCACACACGAAAATACACTTCTTGGTACGTGGCTGGTAACCAATGGATCACAAGATGTCTGATGTCGCCACCGCGACGGCGGCAGAGTGTATCAAGTGAAGAGGCAGGACGGCACATCCCAAACAGAGAACTATCCCACCGAAGGAGACCACCTACTCGAACACTCTCACCTAAAGCTTCTTCTCTAGAACACACATTAGAGACTAAAGCCCAAAAGAGAGGCATCGGGAAAGGGCACCTCCTCCCGACGACCTCAGGACGCACCCGGCTCATGTACCTGGTTATGGTGCTGACGGAGAAGTGAGATGGGGGCTGAGTCTCGTGCATGAGAAGTTTCAGGTAAACGCTGCTTTGGTCTCTCGCCACAGCCACCACTGGGTCGGCCTGTCCTTGGTCACATTTATAAAACAGCTTCGGGACAAGCCTAACATAAAAGTAAGGTTTATTTACTTAAGAAAAGTATCTGAAACTCACCTGGGATTCATCACCCTTCTCCATCAAGGTGGTTAAGCCTGAAACATGGTCTACCCACAGACCACCACCTCCCTTTTTCAGGGTGGCATTCCAGCACGCCAGAACAGGGGGTTCCAATCACAGGACCGACCACCCCCACACAAATCACACCAAGTCTGAAATAACTAGGTGCTATACTTCCTTTTTGTCTGTACCTTTCTCTACATACAATAAAATGCTCTGATTTAAAGTTCTCTTTCGGGGGCGCCTGGATGGCTCAATGGGTTAACCATCTGACTCTTGATTTCAGCTCAGGTCATGATCTCAGAGTCGTGGGATCGAGCTCCATGCTGGGCATGGAGACCGCTGATAAGTTTCTCTCTCCCCTTCTGCCCTTCTCCCACTCCCACGCACATGCACAGGACTGCGTGTGCTGTTTCTCAAAAAAATAAATAAAAAATAAAGTTCTCTTTCTAATCATCTTGAGTACCATGAACAAGTACATGAAGCCACCATCCACAGAAAGTACTGGGCGCAGAGCAGATCTGAACGTCAGGGGCTGGCCCCTACTTGCTTTGCAATTCTGCCTGCAAAACTGTCCCACACGTTCCCAGACGGCAAAGCTCCGGCTGAGGTCCCTCACAAATCTAAACTCAACTCGGAAGCAGAATACAGAACCATTTCGTAGAAGAACAGAAGGGCTCACTTCTGCAATTGACACTCCGTGTGCATTTTACACGAACGTACTCACACACTCACGGACGTGGCTCATAACCTATAGAAACAGCTATTTTATCACATTGGTTTGCAAACCCCAGTATCTTTAATTAAGGTCACTGTCCCCCATGGAGACGTACTGATAAATACAACTTTCTTCTAAGGTAAAATAAGTGGCTATCATTTACAGGAAACGGCAAAGGTCCAAAATCACTGATTAGGTGAGTCAGACAAACGTGGTTAAGTGCATGAAAAGGTACATCTCACAAGCAATCAAAGGAATGCAAAGGACGACACTGAAAACAGAAAGGATACACATGAAATTGGAACTGTGGTTTTGAGTGGTTTGATTACAAAGATTTTTATTTCCATTTTAGTATTTTCCCTAAATTTTGTGCAGTAAACTTGTATTACTTAGAAAAGGTAAGTTTTTTTTTCCCCTGTTACTATTATTTTTTAACAGAGAGCGAACATGAGCAGGGGAGAGGGGCAGAGGAGGAGAGAGACAGTCTTAAGCAGGCTCCACACGCAGCGTGGAGTCCGACTAGGGGCTCAATCTCACAGCTGTGAGACCGTGACCTGAGCCCAAAGCAAGAAACAGGACGCTTAACTGACTGAGCCACCCAGGCATCCCAAAGAGAAGTTATTTTAAAATGAAAAACCAATTTCTGCCTAAACAACTGACACATATTTAACTTTTTTGGAAATGTCTGTTTTGGTGGGAAGAATCAGGCATAATCATATTCTGGTCCTAAAAGTACAAACCCAGGTATGTTTTTGGAGAGCAATTTCACAGTAAGTACCAAAGCCCATAAAAAATCCACTTCTCGGTACTGACCCAAAAGAAATGAGAACATATGTCCACACAGAGTCTTGTGGGCAAATGCTCCACCAGCACAATTCATAGTAGTCAAGAAGTGGAAACAACAGCCATCTGGTGAGTGGACGAAGCAGACACGGACAGTGTCATCCACATAAAGGAACAGCATCCGGCAACACAGGGAACGAACCGCACGTCCGCCCTGTGGCATGTATGAGCCTCGAAAACTAAGTGAGAAAAGCCAGGAGCAGAAGTCCACCTACCGTATGATCCCATTTGTAGGAAATGCCCAGAAAAGGAAGTGGATTCGTGCTTGCCTGGGGCTGGGGGGTGGGAGGTGCTGCAAACGGGCACAGGATCTTTGTGGGGTGATGGGAGTGTCCTAACACTGGGACCGTGGAGGCCGCTGCACGGCTCTGCGGGTTTGCTACCAATCATTTAATTGTGCACTGAAAATGGGTAAATTTTAAGGGCTATAAAATATTTCAGTAAAGCCATGAAAATTTTTAAAAAACAACACCAAAAAGCTTGGCCTAGTAACTCAATTTCCAGGAATTAATTCTAAGGAAAAAATGTGTATATAAACATTTATGTGCAATAATTTTACTAACCATTATTGTCAAAGAAAACTTAACATTCAACCAAATAATATTTATATAAAAGCTTATCGCAACTCCAGAGTAAATTCTTGGCCACTAAGCAAAATCTCTTTTTTTGAAACGCTGCTGAGAGCCTTCCCTGATCTCCCACTGTGGGATGTGTCACGCACTTCAGTACAGAAGTACAAGTACACCGAATCCAGGGTGCTGCCCTCCACAATACCGGTGCTTACGGTTCCTGTCTCAGAAGTCTGAGGGCAGAAGAGGCTAATAATATAGTAAGTGGAAATGAGCAGATTACAAAATCACAGGCATCTGTCTCAATTTTGAAAAAGAGACTCCTATGCAGGATATGCATCAAAGTGCTAACAGTGAGCATCTCCAGGGGAGAAGCTAAGGTGACGTTTACTTTCCTCTGTATCCCAGGCTTCGGACAATGAGAGCGTGTCCCCCTGATGCTAGGAAGCTAGTACTTTGTTGCTGTTCCGGCCTCCCGGTAGACTCCTGCGGGGGTAAATACGACCTGTTCTGACGGTTTCAGAGCGGCTGAAGGTGGGCGCACAGGATCTAGGAACGCTGACCTACTCTCTGGACGTTCCGGCTCCCCTCCTCGTACCATTTAGCGCTTTCACCACGAAAGGCAGCAAACAGCAGACACTCGGTAACTACCTCATCAGTGCAGCTGCGGCAACGTGTCGCACCCTGGGGTCTTCGTCCCCAAGCAAGTAGATGACGACGTCATGGAGCACTCGGTCCTGCAGTTTTAAAAGCTTCAGAGAGAAGGATAAGGAAAACAGGGATGACGTCCGTATTGAACTAAATTCCAGGGAAGGTATTTTGGAAGGCCAGTGAGAAGGGACTCACGATCACCAGCCTTAACCCACACATACAATCACAACTATCACGATCTAAACTGCAGAATCAGCCTAGAACAGAGAGCACTCAGGAAAGCCCCCACCCCCGGGAAAGGGCAATTCCTGGAGGTGACAATGTGGCCCCACGAAAACAAACGGCTTACCCCTGTGTAATGATGGGCCCCTCTGTGTAGATTTTCTGCTTTTGCCTCCAAAAAGCTCACCAACCTAACAAAAGAACATTTTTAACAAAATAATTTAGTTACTCAACCAACACTCACTGTCGGCCTGCAAGCCTCCGACAGACGGGACGCTGGAGGCGGGCTCCGGCGTGGGCAGGGAGAGACGGTGCTTCCCGAAGCCCACAGAGGGATGGATGTTTCTAAACAAGTACAATTTATGTTCCACTCATCATTTCACTCAGTAAGATAGCACTCAGTACACGGTTTTTCTTCAAAATAAATACAAATATCTATTACTGTGAAAGAGTCCACCTGGCCTCAGAGTGAGCTCAAACACCCACCACGGGAGGAGAGCGGGCCGTGGGGATGGGGCCGTTCACCCCTTCCTCTGCGAGGCAGAGGGGAGAGCATGCCCTCATTCCCAGAGGTGTTCTGAGGAAGAAAGGAAATAACCACGGAGGGCACCTAGCTCTGAGCCTGACACATAACAACCACTTTATTACAGTGGCTTGAAAAAGAACCAAACACCTGGATAACATAGAAATTTCCCCTTCTAAAATAAAGCGTTGAAAGAGAAGATCTTAAACCAAACTTCCTCTTCGAAAATGAAAACCTGCAAGGGCATCAATCAAGTTATTCTGTAATCGCAAGGACGTAGAAATAGCCCACGTGACCTACATCCGGTGTGGTGAGGAGTATGTTCCTTTTCCACGAGCGCGCGATTTAAGTATGAGCTCTCTCATTCCCACCATCCAGAACATTCAGATGACTAAAACTACCAGAAAGATCCACTCCTCTGCCTTATTTAAAATTTTTTTTTTTTCAACGTTTATTTATTTTTGGGACAGAGAGAGACAGAGCATGAACGGGGGAGGGGCAGAGAGAGAGGGAGACACAGAATCGGAAACAGGCTCCAGGCTCTGAGCCATCAGCCCAGAGCCCGACGCGGGGCTCGAACTCACGGACCGCGAGATCGTGACCTGGCTGAAGTCGGACGCTTAACCGACTGCGCCACCCAGGCGCCCCTCCTCTGCCTTATTTTAAAACCCCAGGCACAGGGCAAGCTGAGGAGGAAACAAGCATCAGCAACCCAAGCCGCCCAGACTCCCGACTCACAGGTTACCTGAGAAGCATCACTAATCAGTAACTCAATCAACCGACCCAGCCCTTTCAATTCCTAGCTCAAACTCCCGAGCAGCTTAGGTCTGCTCACCTACTGACCCTGATTCACTTACCTAAAGTCAATCTCTGCGAGCGTCTCCAAAAGCTCTGTCCTCACCAGCCAGTAGGAGCTGTCCCTCAGGCTCAGTACATCGGTGATCAGCTGCAGTCCCAGTTCACTGGAGCTACTGCTGCACAGACTCATGACACAGTGCTGGAGAACAAGGTACAGTCAGGGTCAGTCCCACCTCGTTCAAGGACATCACTCGTCCACAGACCCGCTTCCTCTTCTGACTGCAGCAGGGGGGCCACACTTTTCCCACATCACTCAGAAATGTTTATTACCCAATGTGTCCCTTTCACACAACTCTGTTTCTCTCTGCGCCCGTTTCTGTCTCTGTCTTGGCCTCTACTCCCAGACGCCACTCTCGTGACCGCTGGTCGGCATGTTAACAGGGAGCCGTGCAGCATAGCAGCACGGCTCCATTCTAAATCAAGGCTCAGAGCCAGGGCTGGTGGGGGACCCATGGCCCTCTGCTAAGTGACCACATTCTCCACTGCCCAACGCGCCAGAACAGCTCCCGTGGCTGCCCCTCCCGCCCCTCCGTGCACACGCAGGCACGTCCACAACACGGGTGCGCGGTGACTCCGGGCCAGGGGCTCGCGCTTCCCTTTGCTCCCGGAAAGACACCGACGGAAACTTGGCAGACGTTTGCACCTAAGGAACAATTCTGGCCATGAAATTTTGTAAAGGGAAGGTGTGCTGTTAGTTTGGCAATTTGCTGGGTTTTTGTTTTGGTTTTTACTGTCGCTGACTGGCCAGTAGTGATTTGTGAGCCCCCTGAGACACAAAGGTTCAACACGCCACCAGGTACAGGCTGGAGGTTAGCGGCACTGGCACAGAACACAGGTGGCCAGGTAACATTACCGCTCACTTTGACTGGGTCTTCTATGGGCCTAAGAGAGCCGTTGGTTGTTTAATCCCACAGGTTTTACACTTAAGGTTAGCGAGATATATTTCTAAAGGGACCCTTAGAAAAGGTACGTTTTTAGCAAATATTCAGTGTTAAAACTTAAACTACACTTAATTAAGCCTTACCTTTACTGGTAATGTTATCTTTCTACAGCTGAGTGGTGAACACATACACGTTTGTTATTGTTTACACCTTTAGGATGTCTGGAAATGTTCAGTATTAAGCCCGATTTCAATTATAACAATGGTAAAATTTCCACTGATCAAAGAATTGATTTCTGTAAAAGATCATGCTTACCCTCACAGCTGTGCAGGCCAACTTGCAAGTGACAGAAGATTCATCCTTCAAAGTTTTCCGCAGCAAAGGAATGCAGTCCTCCAGAGAAAATGTATTTCCTGACCAAAAGAGCAAACAGGAAACGTCTTTATGTAAACTTGAGCCTGAGACTTCTATCTAGAAAATACCCCGAAAACTCCGAACATTACCTGTCAGAGCTCTAACGGTGCCCATCCAGTCTCCCACTTGGAAGCGGGACCTGCTCAGGGTGGAGGAGATGAGGGTCCCACAGAGAACGGCCGTGGCTCCTCTGACCTGGGGGTCTCCATGATCGATGTAGTTCAGGATGTCTGACACATATGGCTCCTCTGCAGAGAGAAATTGCCCAGCCACTGTGCAGGCCCCGACCGTCAATTTTCTAACTCAGAATAAAAGCTTAATTCTTAGGAAAGAAAAAAAAAGGGGGGGGGGGGCGATCCAAATCTAGAAAAGACTTGAATATAGCAACCGTGAGTGGTAGAAACTATTTTGGGGTTTAAAGATTCCAGCTTCATCATAGCCTTGATATCGCACAGATTTTCTGGATTCTAATTCCAGGTTGCCAGTCAGTAATCAAAATTCCAAGATTTCACTTCAAAAAAAAAGATGAGAGAAACTCAAACCAGTCCACACTTACCTAATATGAATTCAAGAGCCCAAGTGTGTCCCCTCGCCCAAAGAAAGGGAGAGAACACGGGAGGACAATTTTAGAAGTGCGGTTCCTCCCCCATTTATTCCAACACGAGAGTGTGTCCCAGAATGTGTGCTACAGGAGACGGGATCTGCTGTTCTCTGCTGGTCTCAGGTCCCACTTGTCTCTGAGTGTGCACATCTGGCCTGGCTGAGGGTGACCCAAAGCAATTTGGATTATACGCGACTAGTGCTTTGGGTATAAATGCAGCATGTGTGTGAACTGGCGCTTACGCTCCCAGCTCTCTATCGTTTCGCCACGTGTGTTCACACTGAACACCGCATCTACACGGAGTCCAGAAAGCTAAAAACATCGCCAGTCCTGTGTTTCAAATAGAGCTACAACATAGTTCAAATGCCACCAAGTAACTCAAAAAGCAGATCAGTCTAAAACTAACATAGCCAAGATGATTTGAAACAGTTCTCCAAGTACTGATTCAACATGAGGAATGAGGCGTGAACTTTCAACATACCAGGGTACTCCACGGAGTCAAGAGGTACTTTGTAAAGTTTGCTGAAGAAAGACTCAGGATGAAGGGCCACAGCGGCTCCCACACAGCTCAGTGCCAGTGCCTTCACGCTGACCCTCACGTCCCTGTCCGGAACCAACACTGCAAAGAAACCACCTCGGTCACGTTCGGCTTCAAGGCGGTAAACATGCGGTGGCCACGTAAACAAACTAAACCCAGTAACCCAGCTCCCTCAGCGTCCCCTCGCCGCTCCCGTGGGTCAGCCAAAACCAGAGCTCACGCCCAGCTTCTACTTCCTCCCTTTGCTGCACAACGAGGGACAAACTGGTCACCATGTTGACCTTGAAACCTAGGTATTTCCTTCAATGCTGGACCTGCCCTGCTATATACGTACCATTCTTCTCCCCAGTCAGCAAAAACGAAGCCGACAGAAGGCGGACACAATGGACAAGAGGAACAGAATCGTCATCGGTAGACTGTCCTATGTCACCTTTGATCCGGCAAGGCTACAACAGAGAAACAAGACACTTTGTTGTCTGTCTTGTAATCAAGGAACCAATACATTCATTCATCAGTGCATTTAACAAATAGTTCCAGAGCAGCACTTATGCCGGGCGCTGGGGATACAGAGACACCCATCTCCATCATACACAAGCCCGACCTCACAGATCATGGCGGAGCAGGATCAGAGCAGTCGGAGGCAGGCCTAACACGGGGTCACGTGGGCCATGGCAGGGATGAGCTCAGCGTGCAGGGAGGGCACGCGGGATAGAAGGCAGCTGAGACCTGGCATCAGGAGGCTACTCGGGAAAAGACGGCATGAGCCATCATCTGCAGCACAAGGGGAAGCTACTTAGACAGAGGAAGAGCCCTAGGAATGCCCAAAGCCGAGAGGGAGCAGACCTGGCTCAGAGGGGACCTGGAAGGAAGTGCTGAGTCCACAGGATGACTGAGCATCTACAGAGGGACTAAGTACAGAACGCCCTTTCTCGCCCTCAAGGAATTTAAAATTAACTGGGAAGACGCTTACGTGTAAAAAAGTAAGCAATTCAGAGATACTTTACAAAAAGTCCAATGAATAACTCAACAACAACAAAAACCCAAATGTGATTTAACACTGAGCAAAGGACTCGAATAGACATTTCTCCAAAGACATATAAATGGCCAGTCAGCACATGAAAAGATGCCCAACATCACTAATCATAGGGGACGGCACATCAAAACCCCGGTGATCTACAATCTCACACCCAACAGAATGGCTGCTGTCAAAAAAAAATCAGAAAATAACAAGTGCTGACGGGGACGTGGGGAAACTGGAAGCCTGGGCGCCGTCGGCGGGAACGTAAAATGGCGCGGCCGCTGCGGAAAACAGTGTGGCGGTTCCTCAGAAAAACCTAAAACTAGAATTACCGTGTGGTCCTGCAATTCCACTTCTGGGGACACATCACATCCAAAAGACCTGAGAGCAGGGTCTTGAAGAGACACATGCGCCCCCAGGTCCACACAGCATCATTCGCACGGGCGGAAGATGGAACCCAAGTGTCTATCAGTGGAGGAACAGAGAAGCAAAATGTGCAAAACGTGGTGCACACGTTCAGCGGGACCTCACTCAGCCTTAGAAAGGAAGGACATCCTGACACCCGCCACCACACGGGTGAACCTGGACAACATCATCCCAAGTGAAATAAGTCAGTCGCGAAAGGACAAATACTTTGTGACTTCGTGATCCCACTGATACGAGCTTCCTGGAGGAGTCACATCCACGGAGACACAAAGCAGAGGGTGGGAGCCAGGGGCTGGGGGCGGGGGCAGTTAGTGCTTAACGGGGACGGAGTTTCCGTCTGGGGAGATGGAAACAGTTCCGGGCTGGAGGGTGGTGGCTGTGCAACGTGCAGCACTTGTGCCCTGAGCTGCCCGCTTTGCGGTGCGATGACGGCAGAGTTTCTGCCGTATGTATTTTACCACCATGAATAAACAAATCAATTGAATGAACAAAACCAAGACAGGTTGCCAGACTATGCGCGGCCATCAGACGAAAGGCCCAATCGGTGTGAGCCAGGTCCGTCTGGGAAGGACTCTCAGTGAGGCAGAACTTCAGGCAATTCTCAAGGATTTGGGGTGCACCTAGGGAGGCAGAAAGGAAGAGCACACCTAGGAAGAGGTCAGAACTTAAGGCGAAATGGCTGAGCGGGAGCTCAGAGACGGGGAAGCTGGGAGCACAGCACACAGACAGCAGCCACGGCGGTCTCAAGCGTTCACGTGAGCTCAGAATGCTGAGTGGGCTCAGGCCTCACTACCTCACCTTGTTTTCTTGATCTCCTGCTTCGGCAGCTTCGTCTCTTGAAACAAACGTATCCACACTGCTGTCGGAGGGCCTCCGGCTGTGGCCCATGCTTTTCAATAAATGTGCTTGCTGAAGGGCTTCAAAATCAGAGAGACTGGGACTGAGTGACAAGTTTCCAATTAAATAGCAAATATACATTTTTACACAAAGCCCACATGAAAGTATAGGACTTAGATCAAGAAAAAGGACAGTCATTCCTCAACTGATCTTCCTCATCTGCTATTTACAACTCAGAAAACAAAGACATCTTCTAGGAAGCCACGGTAAAACTGAGACGTTGGGGTCGAAAACAAGACGGCTCCACAGCGCACCACGGAAGTCCACGTACCAGCTGCGGAGTTTCGGAAAGCATCTACGTCTTCCTCCGGAAGAACGCCCGCGGCCTCCTCATCCTCGTCCTGTGGCTGTCCAATCTGCAACCCCGAATACTGGCTGTCGGCCCCATCTAACACCTGCACGGTTCGAGAGGGGCTGGTGAAGGTTCAGATGGGACGTCACCGAGGGACAGGCTCTCCAACGTGGGTAGGCAAAGGCACAGCCAGAAATCACAGGGACCGCATCTTATGTACTAACACAAAGGTCACTTCCTTAAATGCACAGACATGCACGCACATAAAATCCAGTTCGCTGACCACACACTGCTACTACATTATAAAAAGCTTCACAGCTATAAAAATTCAAAATAAATTCCAATCTGAAATTTTCTCTTTTTGACATTAAAAAAAAAAAAATCTTTGTCTTTACAAGAAAATTTTATAGTAAGTCAAAAATGAGGGAAATCTTTTAGACAAAAACCTAACACTACACCAGGTTAAGCTTCGAAGCTGCTAGGACTAAATCAACTAAGTTCTGGACACAGTATGTCATCTACTTAGCCAAAACTTGGATTATGATTCCATATTGCAAAATAAAATATTCACATTCACTTGAAATCCCAAGTAATTTGCCTGAAAAACTGAATGATGGAACCTCACTCAGTACACGAGTAATTACTGAAGTAAATTCTGTATCATTTTAAAAAGTCATTCCAAATCCTTACAATTAAATAAAAAACGTCAAGCTACATGTTCAAAAGCAACCCAGAAAAGAAACAATTTCCTGCACTATCCTAGTTAGTTTATTAAAAAAAAAAACACCTTACCTCAGTTAAAAAAAAAAAGAAAACTTACAATGAGAAATCCTACCATGACAAAAACCAATACTTTGTGAATATCTTACTACATGCCAGGCAGGATCAAAAAGCACTTGACACGTCTGGGCTCCTGTAACCTCCGTGAGCCTTAAGGCACAAGTACTGCTGTCCTCAATCTATGGATGAGAAAACTGAGGCAAGAGGGGACACAAGTGCCCCAGACTGCACAGCGAGTCAACGACAGGTCCACATTCTGGTGGCTCCCTGCAACAGGCCCCTGAACCACCACGCTGAGCTGTCTCACGAGGAAATTCCCCAGCCCCTTCACTTTGCTTCTTCTGTCTATGGCACTTATCACCACCTATTTATTTACGTACTGATTGACTGATTATTGGCTTATTATCTGCCCCCCACACACACGCACACGCTCTAGAATAGGGACAATGAAGCTATGACCTAAAGACCAAACCTGGCCCGCCACCTGTTTTTATAAATGAAGTTTTATTGGAATGCTAGTTCATTGACATACTGTCTATGGCCGCTTTCACACAGCAGCAGAGAGGACTATGTGACACAGGCAGTATGGCTCAGAAAGCCAAAGATCTTCGCTGTCCGGCCCCATATGGAGTTCTGCGACTCCCACCCTGGGATGTTAGCTTTCTGCGAGCAGTTCTGCATGTTGCGCCCTCTACTTATGCCCGGCTTGGGAACAATCCCTGGAGCTTAACAGGCGCTCCATGTATTTGTTCAGCAAATAATTAATGATTACGTATGGGACATGGAAGTACCTCATAAACTAGAAAGAACTACACCAATGTGGAAATTATCAAGGAAAGATGTTCATTCTCTACAGGCCAGAGAGACCCGCAGAGGCCCTACTCCCAGCACTGTTGGGTAACCTCGGGAGACCAGAAGTTTTCAGAATCTCCTATGGTCCTTCACTCCTATTTCTAACAAATTCACCAGAAATCATCCACTGTGAAGAGGCAAGATACCCATGGAAACTGGTGCAATAAACACACTCCAGAATCTCCCCCCGCCCCACCCACTTAACACACTGCTCCTGACCCAGCACTCTCCCCGACCTTCCCCTCCCTGCATACTGGTCAGAACCTGCTCATGCTTTTCTTACCCACTGGTCCAGTTATTTGTCCTCCGGGGCCAGGTTTTCTAGTTAAAACCCTAACCGGGAGTGAGCTCCCTTCTCTACCCAAGAAACTTAATCTGCATGGCCATCAGAAATCCCATGCACACGACAACTTGACAACTGCTCAGTAGGGACAGGCGACTGTTTTATCTCCTGATTTGTCATTCAATGCTTCTGCATTTATCCAAGCTAAAAAAAAAAAAGTTCTTAATAAAACCTATGAACTACTAACAGAACACTTAATAGTACAAATTGCTTAAAAAAAATGGGGTGTCAAACTCAGTCTAAACTTTTCCTGAACTTTTTGATGAGACCATCCCCGAAGTGTTTCTTGTCCACTAGCTCAGAGATCAGAAGTACTTAAATCCATGCTCTATAAGATGGGATATGTTGTAAGAGGTTTTGAAAAGCCAAAAAAATATTAAAATAATGCACAGTATTAATGTTTTTAATTACAATGCATTAAGACCACAGATCTATTACCAACAGGCTCCTTATGGATTTACTAAATAATGATTTGATCTGTGCCCAACAAGTTCTTACAGAATGTAAAATGCAGTTTTAGCAACATTCATATCATCAACTAACCTAATTTCTGACCTCCGTGTTCAACACAAATGCCACTCAGCCATTTCCTTCAGTGAGGTTCTCAGGTGGGTTTGAACTCTCCATTAACGACCTAAGCTGCTGACCTCTGCACTCTTACTAGTGAGTCACATGGGGAGAGGGAAATAGGCAGGAGGGTCTGGGTCTGGGCCTCCAGGCGAGGCCTCTCTGCAGAAACCGGGGCACCCTCTGCACCCACTTACGATTTCAGAACTGTCTGAAGGGGTCACAGCCGAATCGGGCCCTTCGGTGGTGGTCTGGGAACTGTCACTGACTGGGGAGGAGGCCTGGGTGCCATCGTTCAGGTCCATGGCTGGGTCAGACGGGACGGCACTGATCTGGCTAGAGCTGTGGCTCAGGATGTCCTCCTCATCCCCGTCGGTGGCAGCGCTCGCCAAGTCACAGCCGGTCAGATCCACCGAGTCCGGCTGCAGCGTGTGCTGTGAGCGGGGCTGCTCGGTGATGATGTCGTGCCCCACGGAGTCGGCAGTTGAACCGGCGGAGCCAGGAGTGGAGACTCCAGAAGAGGCCGCCAGCTCACCACCAATCTCACCCTTGACTGAGGCTGAAGACAAAGAAACACTCATTCCTCAAAGGGCCAGGAAAAACGTTCAACAGGGACATTGAAATCAAATGTTCACAAAATACCCCCAAATTCACTGTCACCAAATGTTTCAACTGCAAAAAATCGTGAAATACCATGAAAATGTGAACTAGTATATTTCAAAAGCAAGACAACAGTGCATTCTTCAAACATGACTAAAATTGTGTTTCACTGTATTCTTGACTTACCTTTTTTTACTCTTACCATGTCATATTAATAAAATAAGGATTCTCAGCAGATAGTTTTAAATGCTGTCAATATTCTGAAGTGGGATTTCACTGTAAAACCTGAAGCACGCTCAGTAACATAACCACTTCAAGTCCTTGAGCAACAGCTCCAGCCAGGGCTTGGAGCCACACATAAAGATTTCTGTGATTCACAGGCGGCCTGGCCTGGGATGCGAGGCGGGGCGTCTGCGCACTCTCAGCCAGCAGGGCTCAGAAACGACAGAAAGTCACCGTCTCTGTGAGGTGGGCTTTCCTTCTCCCCAGACCCTGCTCAAGACCGCTAAGCCAGTCCTACCCTCCTGTCCAGCAAATGCGCAGAGCATTTTCCTGCTTTTTTTTAAATTCCCACTAAAAAGACACACACACACCACATAAAATTCACTACAAGAAGATCTACGCCAAGCTGTTACCAGGGGTCATTCCTGGAGGCCCCAAGGGCCAGTGAGCCCTTGAGCTCAACAATACTGCAGACGGCTGTAATTTTGTTTTATTTTTGTAACTAAAAAAAAAAAAAAAATCTATTTCTATTTTGTACAAGTGAATAGATAAATAATCACCACTGGAATTTTTCAGATTTTCCTTCCCAAATACCTTAGCCTTATTTCAGCTGTCTAAAAATAATCTTTTGGATAGGACTGTACAATCCAAACCACTCTCATTTAATCCAGTTATTAGTATCTTAAGCAACACTTATCACTCATAAAGTGAATAAGAATCTGTAAGAAATGTAAATTTCTTTCAAGTTAAACTATCCACAATTTTAATCCCATTTTACCCTCACAATCCCTGTAATTCATGAGACACTTACCTACCATCCCCTACTACATAAGAAGACTTATGCTCAGGGAGCATAAACCTAATTTTAAAAGAGCCTAAACCAAGGAAAATAGCAAGTATTTGATGCAAGAAAACACACAGACACGTTTCAAAGTAAATGCTCGAAAAGAAGCATGGGTTAGCCACCATTCGAGCGAGCTGGCTTCACCGCTACCCCTCAGGAGGGGCAGGACAGGGGTAGGGAAGGTGCAGGGAAGGGGCCAGTAGAGAGGAGGGAGGGGAGCACCACTGCCCCTCCCTCAGAGCTACCTGCGAAGGCGGGGCTGCTGCCCTCCGACCTGGACTCGGAGTCATCCTCCAAGGCTGCTGCGTCTCCGAAGAGCACTTTCCCTAGGAAATGATGTAGCAAGAGTCCTTAAGCTTGCTACACGAAGGACTTTAAAAATCAAACAGATGCACATTCTAAGCGGCAAATCATAAGCATATTTAGTTCACTCTCTCATATAAGAGTATATGAAATATATTTTTAAATAAAAGTATTTTTATATGTCTAGTGTGCTAAACACAAAGAAGCCACAATATGATATTTAGATATTATTAAAATCAATAAACCTACATGGAACAAAGTTAAAAGCAATGATTCTCAAACTATAACACCAAATATTTTAATAATTAATAAGTATTTACTGACTTAGACCTGGTTTTTTTAATAATTTATATTATTATTTAATCTTGAAGATTGTTAGCTACGGCTGGAACCAATTCTGTTGGCAACCAGAGCACATATGTAACTACCATGCACCCGAAACTAGCATAGTGCTACGTGGTAACCAGCTGGAATTAAAATAAAAACTTAAAAACAAAAAGAGTTCAAAAACAAAACAGAAAGACCCTGAAGGTCTTTTCTGTTCTCTTTTCTCTTTTCCTATTCTCCTGTTCTGTTCTCTTTTAAGTTGCCAGACTCTGTGGCTGACAATCAGAACTTGATCTGGGAGGATGGGATAAGGTTCATCTTCTGCACAGTCCTAAAAATACATTTATCAGTTCTTGGTTTCCAAATTATGTCAATTTATAGCATATTAGTAGGAAAAAAGAAAAAAGCCGTAACGATTTAATTGGACTAATTAAATCATTATGGTTACATTACTCAGAGGTCATTAGATGACACTATAGAAGTCATTATTGGCAATTTCTGACTTCTAACTTCACTACTCTTCAAGAAATAGGCCCTAGGTGTGATAACGTCCAGAAATCTATACAGATATGACATTAAAGGGGGAAAAAAGGCAAAGAAAAAGCAAAGGATACCCAAACTCTAGATAAAATTAACATGGCAACTTGATTAATCTACTAATAGAGTCCTTTATTACAGAGCAAGTGGTTTACCTTGAGGAAGCAAATTAAAATTCCACCCTGTGCACTTGGGTGTTAATGAGGGCAGTCGCTGTCTTTGGAATCAGGGGTTTGCCACTCTGACCCAAAGAGCCCACCTCAAAGGGTGCAAGGTCAAGGCTGCTGCACCCCCGCCCTGCCATCCTACATTCAACATCCACTCTGCTTCTGTCTCCCACAGATTTGTAGATCTCACTTGAAAAAAAAGGATTCTGCAACTATATCAAAAAAGCTTAAAAACCACAGGTTCCCCATGAAAAAGGAAAACAAACAAAACAAAACAAAATTGTAGAAAAACAAAAAAGATATTGAGGACACAACAACCTTCTGGCCAGAAGGAAACAACTCATCTCAGTGGTGGGAGTCAGCCACCTGTGTCTTCTTCACAGGGAAGGTGACTAAGCAATAAGGCAAGTCTCAGAGCAACTTAGCCACCTGCCTGAAAAGTCCCTTTCCCGGAAGCCTCGTGGCCTTCAAACAATCTCGGTATTTCACCACAATCCCAAACCTGATCAAGTATGCCACTATCATGGCCCAAATATTATTGATTCTAAGTTCTAGGAAATGTTTACTTAATCCAGTCAAGGTAGAATATTATTCCTGTTGAGATCCCATTCGATACTGCAAACAGTATTAGGCATTAGGCTCTCAAACACTCAAAAAATATATGTTGTATACCAATCATACCTCAATAAATTGTAAAAAAAGATTAGTCTTTTAAGATTTCGAAACAGAAAATGGCAGCAATTCTTTCCTATGGAGATCCAGACCAGAAAATAAAATACTTGGTGTCGTAAAGTGTTAATGTGCACCAAAACTATCACACTACAGATCCAAAACACTGTGATTTAATAGAAACAAATTGCATCAGAATGTTCCGGCATGTACAAAGCTAAATAGGGTTGAAAAATGATAATCAGGCCCAAATTAACCAAATAATTAGGCAGACATCATTCCTGACTAATACTAAACAAAATTCACAGAAAAGGAAGTTAGTTTTATAAAACGTAACACAGACTCTATGAAGGAGTAGGCAAACCAGGACAGGCCCCTTTCTGTGAATAAAGCTTTGCTGAGCACAGGCCACGGCTACGGGCTACGGCTGCCTCCCGCCCCAAGGCAGAGCTGAACCGATTAGAGACAGGAAGGCCCACCAGAGGCCCTTTACAGGAAAAGTTTGCTGACCCCTGACCTAAAGCATTAGAAATTTATGACACAACGATTCTGATATACAAGCAATTTTCCAAGGCCACCCTACAGAACCATTCAGGCCCAGTTATGAGATTCCAGCAATGTTTATAAATACAATCACTCTGCTGAGAAGAGACACAGGCACAGTCGAAGGCATTACAGAAATACAGAAAAAGCAGTGAGACCCAACATAAGACTCTGAGTTCTGAAATAATCACCTTTTTGTTTTCTTGAAAGGACAGGGCTGCATGAAGAACCCCCTCCGGCTGTAAATCACAGAAAATGACAGATGAAAGTAAGGTGACAAGCTGTTAAAATCCAGAAGGAATTTGAAAATCTTCAAAAAGCTTGATTCAGTTTTAAAACTAGAGAATGTACGAACATATTTCCACAGGCAGTGCTGAACCACCACAGCACAACGCTTTAATTTTGACACATGAAAATTATATCAACGTTCAAATACACAGATCTAAAGATGGGCCCTAAAATACCAAAGAAGCTCAAATAAAGTGCATTTAAAAAGTCAAATGAAAGACATTAGAAATCTCAGATTATCTGGTCAATTAATAATCAAATATAAATTTTCATTGGAAACAATCATTAGAAATTAGTATTTCCAGCAAGTGTTTTCGTAAGGTGTGCATTCCACAGAGGAAAGGATTCTTCAGTACACAGGGCCGTGAACAGGCACATTCTCATTTTCTGCTCATGGTTCAGGCAAACATTTATGTTCGAACGAGGCAGCAATTAGGCCTCCAGTCACACCCTCTCGGCTGTCAACGCCGTGAGCAAAGGCCGTGCCACACACGCGCTGCGCTACATCGACCACACGCCGCCGGGCCCAGGTGAAGCCTGGAGTCAGCAAAAGCCACAGGAGCCTCCTCTGTGCCAGATCCAGTGCTAGAGGCCACGCTTCGGGGTCCCCATCTACTCCAGCTCCCACGGGCAACTCCAGGTCAGACAGGGCCCACCGGGGCTGGAGGAAAACCAGCGGTCAGTCTGCAGGGCAGCACCGTGCAGGGATTAGGGCCCCGTCCCCAAAGGCTTAAAGAAGAGTGGTGGGGGGGGGGGGGGGGGGGGGGGGCAGAGGAAGGGGTTTCCTAACGTCTGCCCTCAAGGGCAGAAAGGAACTCTAAAGCCCCTACAAAGACTTGAAGATCCCATCTTGGGCCGCGACACGAGGGTCCTGGAAACACTTTCCCTACAGTTTTCGTTTCACGACGGATGAGATGGCATGTGGAGGCAGCCGGGTCAGAGTCGAGAAGCCGGCCTTAGACGCAGGCCTCGTTCTGTCACCTGACCTCGCCACACTTCCGTCTTCCTGTCTACAGCTTAGGCTTCCGAGGGCCCGAAGGGCGCCCCGCTCGGCACAGGGCGGGCCGGCCGCCCGTCCGGTGAGGGAAGCAGGGCGTCGTGGGGACGACCGCCGGAGAACATACCTAGGAGCTCCGCGATGCTGCCGCTGCGGCTCCGGCCGCCGGGCCCATACTGCACGCCGCTCCGCTGCCCGCCGCCCGGCGCGGTCAAGGCCTGCAGGAGCTCGGGAGGGGGCGTCCTGAAGAGCTGTTGCAGGAGCTCCAGCGCCCCAGTCACGGCGTTGTGGTCTTGGTGCTGAGTGTAATGCAAGGTCAGTTCGTAAACCTGGAAACACAGGGACGAGTGTCATCAGCATGGTCTCTAAAACGTGTCGTAGGGTTCGCTGCTTTTGAGTCTTATGTTAGCAAATTTGTGCCTTAATTTCTCCCCCTAGAAACGTCTCCATCGTGTCTACCAACGTGGTCACGGCTTCCGTGCTGTGTTCTAAATTCCTGGCACGTTGTCCATGGTCAGATTGACTCCTTACAAAAATGAGGCACTTCCACAAGTGTCACACAGGCTAATGAAGACCTGCCTCTGCCCAACCAGCGAGCAGGAAGGGAGAAGAAAGCTCCCGTCCGTGGCAACTGCAGCTGGTCCCACAATCAATGCAAGAGGCACTGTCCTGAGCACCACGGAAAAAAAGTTTCCAAACCTTGTTTTTAATGTCTATTCATTTATTTTTGAGAGAGAGAGAAAGAGAGAGTGCGCACACAAGCTGGGGAGGAGCAGAACGAGAGGGAGACACAGGATCTGAAGCAGGCTGCAAGCTCCAGGCTACGGGCTGTCTGCGCAGAGCCCGATGCAGGGCTCGAACCCACCAACTTCTAGGTCATGACCTGTACTGAAGTTGGATGCTTAACCGACTGAGCCACCAACCACCCCAAGAGTTTCATTTTAAAAGCATCGCATCCAATTTTCCTAGTGCTCTTAATACTATATTACGTTATACGAACACACTGCACTCTGTTACCTTTATTTCTTTTTTAATTTTAATTTAATTTTATTTTTTTCAGTAACCTCTACACCCAACGTGGGGCTCAAACTCATGACCCCAAGATCAA